GTAGGTCTGTGTCTTTATTCCTGTCTTACCCCTAGGTTCTTCATGACATTTTTTTTCTTAAATTCCATATATATGTGTTAGCATACGGTATTTGTCTTTCTCTTTCTGACTTACTTCACTCTGCATGACAGACTCTAGGTCTATCCACCTCATTATGAAACACTAAAATTTAAATCAGAATTAAGCTAGAAAAAAAGTGTTTCTGATCTTGTTTCTCCTGCCAATGGATTTTCTTCACCAAGATGTCACATCTGGAAATAAAGATGTCCTGCACAAAACACTGTGTTTGGATTCAGAATTCTGCATCAGCTTAGGCAAAACTGAATGATGGCAGCTGTGTCGGTGTAGAGCAAGCCTGAACTTAAATATATTTCTTTAACACCACTTGTTGCTTACTTCACTATCAAGCTCTCTTTCTGAATCTATTTCTTAGATGGTGGCCTAGCGAGTCGCTTACAGCAGATTCAAGTGCTCGTGGTAGAAAGAGAGGTCTGCGAACGCACTTACTATTCTGCCCATCCAGGAGGGATTACAGAGAAGATGATCTGTGCTGGCTTTGCAGCGTCTGGAGGGAAAGATGTGGGTCAGGTGAGAGGATTCTAATTTTGCAGAGGGGAAGACAGGAAGTTGTCATCTGTTGGAGATTCTCCTTAGACAGGAAGAATATACTCTCAAAGCCACAGACAAGCATCTTGGCCTGTGCCTGCAGCATCATGCCACACCCCTACTCGAAAGCCAGTAGGACAACAGGAAGAGTGAATTACTTAGTCCAAACTTGCTGAGATGGCAGAGAGACAGAAGCAGCCATCAATCAGAGGGGAAGTGGGTACACAGAGGAGCCCTTGAGAAGGTAGGAGAGGGCAACACCACTGAACTGGTCTGCAGGTGGGAAGATGTGTTCAGATATGCTTAAAGCTTTGGTAAAAGGGGAACGAGCAAATACGGATTATAAATTAGTGTATCCTACTTATGCCTTAAGAGTTTTATTGTTTCAAATTATTACTAAACTCCTGGGTACTCACACTTAATTTTCAATCACAGAATAAAATAAAATAATCATGAAGAAAATGAGAACCTTTGAAAAAATGGTTTTCATATGCAGCGGAAGACAAATCACAAGCAGTAGTTTAATTTTAGTGATATCCTAGAGGCACGAAGCTGTGCAGATGTATTCACACGTCAGTTGGACAAGCATGCTATTGGCAAGTTCAGAATCAGCTAGGAAAAAGACAGGATACGGGCAAAAGGATTACAAAACACCAGCTTTAATATCCACAAAGCCGACTGAGGAATATGCCTTAGGTATGCAACCAAAAAGTGTTTCCAACACTAAGCAGGCCACCTTGAACACCTAGTCTGGACTTGAGGCAGCCTGCCTAAGGGAAAGTTGGGGTCTGTAGAGCAGACACACTTCTCCAGATTGTTGTATCATTTCATATTGGTCTAGAGTAGAGAGGGAAGAAAGAATGAATCTTGAGTTGCAGCTTTTTGATAGTCCTCCCCTGCCTCCCCACAAACGCTCCCCCCACCCCCCTGGCCACGAAGAAACAGAAACCAATGGATACCACCTCTATGGGGAGAAAACTGGGCTTTAATCTGGATAGAAGTCTTTCCATAGGCAAAAATGAGGAGAGAAGGAAGGAGGTCCCCTCTTAACATTGAATATAAATTGAGTGTAGTTAAACCCTTTCCTTGTGTCAAGCACTACCCAAATTCTGTTTTATGTTGCATATTGTAATTTGCATTCTTCAGAAGCAGACTCTGAGAGGAGGATTCAAGGGCAACAGTGTGCTCAGAAAGTACAAATATCACTGGTAGAAATGTGAGGAGGTGGTACAGGGAAGGGAAGGCAGCCCATCTATTGATGTGCTATTAATGTGCTATGAAGCCAACTACCACAGGGAGGGACTGAGCTGAATCCTGCAACGAAACTCTGGCAGTGATGCAAAACACACGCAGTATATTTATCCCCTCCCCTTGGAGGGGTGAGGGAGCTTCCCCAGAGTCACGGTTGGAAGGCTTCAGGGGAGCATCTCCCACAGCCTGAGCGGCCTTATGGCTGTGGTGGACAGGGCAAGGGCCCTCAGGCACACAGCCGGCATAGACTGGAAGGTCCGAGGAATATGGGAAGGGCACTCACACCATCTGCTAGAGGACATTACTGTTATATTATAAAAATCCAATAGAAAAGTGCTCTGAATTAATGTGTTCATTCTCCCCCTTTTGAGGGATGGTTTTTCTTTCTTTTTCACATCAAGAAAATTACAAATGGCTCTGCTGTCTCTGTCATGTTTAACAGCATGTAACATTAAGGGAAGAGCTTAATCTATCAAGAGAGCAAATAGGTCCATGTCAGAGGTGACCCAAATACCATAATCTCGGTTGGTACCTATATTTATTTCAGCTACATCCAGCTGTCACTTTCGCTGCAGTGTGACCAAATTTACAGCCACTACAAAGAAAGGAAAATACGAGAGATTCTGACTAGATGTGGGTAGCTTTCTTTTATAAAGAATACTGAATTACTAAAAGGGTGACTTCAGAAACTTGCTTTGATGAGACAGACTCTAATATTTCTATCAGGTAATTGGTTTTTACCCCAAAAAAGGGTTTTTACCCTCCTGTGCATACTCAGGGGTAATGGACCTGCTAATGTAATTTCTCATCCAGGAAGGTGAACATCAGAATGTTGGAATGCAGAGACATGGCAGTTTCAGATACACAGTGTAGACTCCTGTGGTTCTTTGCTCACAACAAATTTTAGATTTTTTTTTTAATCTCAAGTTCTTTGACCTACCATTGATCTTTGTCTTCACAGAGTGATACATGTTCTGTTCTTGCTGACTTTTCCATTCTAGTTCTTATTTCTCTCTTCTTGCTTACTATTTTTCAGCCACATCGATTGCCTTCTGACCTCAAACTTGCCACATCCTTCTCTAAGTTGGGGCCTTAGCCCAGATATTAATTCTGCATTAAAACGCTATTCCTCCAGGTTTTTGAAAATCCACCTCCTTATTTTTCATGTACAAGCTCAAATGTTATTGAAACTACAAATATATACATGCACGTGTAAGCATACACACAGCTACCATTGTTCTCAACTTTTCACTCTGAGTATTTCCTTTATGGCTATTATCACCATCTAATTTGTTTATATTCTTTTCCAGAATGCCTGGCTCACAGTAGGCACTGAATAATTTTTAAAATAATCAGTATTTGTTTCTTGAAGATTTACCATGTGCGAGGCCCTGTAATAAGTGCTGACCATAAAAGATAAATTAGACAGGCTCCTTCTGTATCACAAAATGTTTGTAATTAACTGAAAAATTCTATATTGTGTATGTGTTCGTACTGAATGAATGAGTGAATAAAAAAACACCTGATTTGACAAATCAGACTATTTTCAAACTGGAAGGGCCTCCTAAGTATAATCTTAAATTATGTGGGAAAAAAATTAGGCCCAGAGAAAATGTTAATTGTTCTACATTACAGATTAAGGAATCGGTCTCCTATTCCCAGTTCAGGATTTCTCCTGTGAAATTCTCCATATAAAATAAACACTTATCTCAAATATGTTATCAGCTCAGTTTATTTTATAAGAAGACAATTAAATTAAAGGTTTAGTTTGGTCCTAAGTACACTTGTGTCAAAAAAAAAAAAAAAAAAAAGCCCTGATAAAAAACCAGAAAGGCTGTCTTAAAAGAATGCAAATCCTATGTTTTAAAGCTTGTTTTTTTTTCAGTTTTATTGAGATATAATTGACATATAAAATTTTATAAATTTAAAATGTACAATGTGATGATTTTGATACACTTAGGTATTGTGAAATGCTTACCATAGTAGGGTTAGTTAACACCTCCCTCACCTCACATAATTATCATTTTTTTCTTGTGCTGAGAACACTTATGATCTACTCTCTTAGCAGCTTTCAAGTAAGCAATACAGTATTGTTAACTACAGTCACCATGCTGTACATTAGATCCCTAGAACCTGTTAATCTTACAGCTGGAAGTTTACACCCTTTGACCAGCATCTTCCCATTTTTCCCATTTTTTAGGTCTCAGGTATATGTGATATCATACAGTAATTGTCTTTCACTGTCTGACTTTTCACTTAACATATTGTTCTCAAGGATTATCCATGTTGTCGCAAATGACAGGATCTCCTCCTTTCTCATGGCTGAATAATATTCCATTTTAGTATTCAGTATTCTCATGGCTGAATAAATAAATAAGTAAACAAATATACATATAGACACACACACACACACACACATATAAAAAATACACACACACATATACTCCATACATCTTCTTTATCCATTCGTCCTTTGACAGAAAAATAGGTTGTTTCCATATCTTGGCTAATGTGAATAAAGCTGCAGTAAACATGGGGGTGCAGATACCTCTTCAGTAGCCTATTTTTATTTCCTTTGGCTATATACCCAGAACAGGGATTGCCGTATCATGTGGTAGTTCTATTTTTAATTCTATTTTCCACAGTGATATACCAATTTATATTCCCACCAATGGTGCAAAAGGATTCTCATTTTTTCCACATCTTTGTAAACACTTTATTTCTTGTCTTTTTGATGATAGCTGATCAAACAGATATGAGGTGATATCTCATTGTGATTTTGATTTGCATTCTCGTGATGTTGAGCACATTTTCATGTACCTGTTGGCCATCTGTATATCTTCTTTGGTAAAATGTCTATTCAGATCCTCTGCCTATTTATAAATTGCATTTTTTTTCTTATTGATTTGTATGAGTTCTATAATTTTGGATGCTAACCGCCTATCAGATATATGGTTTGAAAATATTTTCTCCCATTCCATGGGTTGCGTTTTCATTTTGTTGATTGTTTCTTCTGATGTGCAGAAGCCTTTTAGCTTGATGTAGTCCCACTTACTGATTTTTGGCCCTGTTGCTTGTGCTTTTGGTTTCATATCCAAAAAAACTGTTGCCAAAAACAAAGTCAAAGGAGCTTTTCGGGCTTCCCTGGTGGCGCAGTGATTGAGAGTCCGCCTGCCGATGCAGGGGACGTGGGTTCGTGCCCGGGTCTGGGAGGATCCCACATGCCGCGGAGCGGCTGGGCCCGTGAGCCATGGCCGCTGAGCCTGTGTGTCCGGAGTCTGTGCGCCACAGTGGGAGAGGCCACAACAGTGAGAGGCCCGCGTACCGCTAAAAAAAAAAAAAAAAAAAAAGGAGCTTTTCCCTATGTTTTCTTCTAGAAGTCCTGCCATTTGGGGTCTTATGTTTAAGTCTTTAATCTATTTCAAGTTAATTTTTGTGGTGTAAAATAGGGGTTCAATTTTATTGCTCTGCATGTGGTTATTCAGTTTTCCCAACACCATTATTGAAGAAACTAGTTTTTCCCCATTGAGTATTCTTTGCTCCTTTTTCAAATATTAGTTAACTATATAAATGGGGTTTTTTTCTGGGCTCACAATTCTGTCTCATTGGTCTGTGTGTCTGTTTTTATGCCAGTACCATACTGTGTTGATTACTATAAATTTGTAATACATTTTGAAATCAGGAAGTGTGATGCCTCCAGCTTTGTTCTTTCTCAGGATTGTTTTGACTATGCGAGGGTCTTTGTGGTTCCATGTGAATTTTAGGATTGTTTTTCTCTATTTCTGTGAAAAATGCCATTGAAATTTTGATATGGACTGCATTGAATCTATAGCTGTTTTGAGTAGTGTGGACATTTTAACAATATTAATTCTTCAAATTCATGAATATGGGATATCTTTCCATTTCTTTGTGTCTTTAATTTTTTCATCAAAGTCATAGTTTTCAGTATAGAGACCTTTTACCTCCTTGGTTAAATTTATTCCAAAGTATTTTATTCTTTTGATGCTACTGTACGTGGGATTTTTATATATGTGTGTGTGTGTGTGTTTTGTTGGTGTATAGAGACACAGCTGACTTTTATATTTTGTATCCTGAAACTTGACTGTATTCATTGATAAGTTCTAACAGTTTTTTGGTGGAGCCTTTAAGACTTTCTGTATAAAAAGACTTTCTTGCCTGATTGCTCTGGCTAGGACTTTCAGACTATATTGAATAGGCCTGGTAAGGGTGAGCACCTTTGTGTTATTCCTACTCTTAGAGGAACAGCTTTCAACCTTTCACTGTTGAGTAGAGTGTCAGCTGTGGGTTTGTTATATATGGCCTTTTTTATGTTGAGGTATGTTTTATTTACACCCAAGTTGTTGAGAGTTCTTAATCATGCAAGAATGTTGCATTTTGTCAAATGCTTTTTTGTACTATTGAGATGATGATACGATTTTAACTTTCACATTTATTGACTTGCATATGTTGAACCACCCTTGCATCACTGGAATAAATCCCACTTGATTATGGTGATTGATCCATTTAATATACTGTTGAATTCAGTATGCTAGTATTTTGGGGGTGATTTTACATCTATGTTCATTAGGGATATGGGCCTAATTTATCTTTTTTTGTAGTGTTCTTTTCTGGCTTTAGTATGAGGGTAATGCTGACCTCATAAAATGAGTTTTGGAGTATTCCCTCCTCCAGTTTTTGGGTAGACTTTGAGAAGAATTCTTGTTTAAATGTTTAGTAAAATTCACTAGTGAAGCCATCTGGTCCTAGGCTTTTCTTTGTTGGGATGTTCTTGATTATTGATTCAATCACCTTTCTTGTATTGGTCTGTTATGATTTTCTTTTTCCTCTTGATTTGGTATTAGTAGGTGGTATGTTTCTAGGAGTTTATTTCTTCTAAGTTTATCCAATTTTTCGGTTTATAGTTGTTCATAGTGGTCTCTTATGATCCCTTGTATTTCTGTGGTACCAGTTGTAATGTCTCCTCTTTCATTTCTTTTATTTGTGATTTCATTTATTTAAGTCTAAGTATTCTAAGGTATACAAATTCATAAAAATAAATCTTTAAGAAATTAAAGAAATATATTATGAATAAATTATTGATTATTCCTGTTCCAAAACTGAAAGCAGGAGTTCTGATTAAAGCAATTTTAGAACATGTTTTCTTGGTGTTCCAGGGAGATTCTGGTGGGCCATTAGTATGTAAACATGAAAAAGCTCCCTTTGTCCTCTATGGCATTGTCAGCTGGGGAGCCAGCTGTCCCCAGCCAAGGAAGCCAGGAGTATTTGCCAGGGTGAGTGTCTTCTTGGACTGGATTCAATCCAGGATCAAAGGTAAATATTTTTCAGATATTATAAAAAGGTGCCTCTTTTTTTTCGAGTGGGTTTGGGAGAGGTGAGAGTGGTGGAAATCAGTATTATGAAAGAGAAGACCATAATATAGTATTTTATTTATTTTAGTTTCTAAACACATTAAAATTCTGTAAGAATAAGTTCTTCCTTAGGCAGAGTTATGGTAAAACTGACATTTCCTGAGGCTGCTTTAATCCTAGATTTGCATTCTCTTTGAAAAAAATCTGCTCTGGAACAAACTACATTTTGTCCTTAGGCTTTCATCTTTATTTACTTTTAACATGTTCTCCCCAGATGCAGGTCCTGTTTTACTTCAGATAAATAAAGAAAGCAAAATCTTAACAAGACAACAATTGCCACCACCCACACCTTCAAGAGACAGTGCATCTGGGCCAGGTAGTAGATGTTCATGTTATGCCATTAATATAGCTAGTAAGAATTTAGCAAAAAGCATTGCTCATCTGGGTTCATTAATTTTCTTTGGAATACCGTAAACTGTGTCTTCATTCTGGTTGGTAGTTTAAGCTGAAAGACAGGAGAGTTGTTATTGTTACTGTCTAGGGATCTTTTCTACCCCATAGATACAGCTGTTACAGGTTAAAAAAAAAAAAAAGCCTTGTGGTTGTGAACAGTGCTTGAATTTTGGAGAAGTTCATAGAATTATTCTGACCTCTGAGCTATTTATTGCTACATGAACAAAGGCCCTTAGGCTTTCAGGTATCTTGCTAGATAAAGACTCTGGATATTAGATGACCAAGACGAGTATCAGTGTTAGTGTCTCTCTTAACTCTCCCCCAATTGTCAGTGTCTGTTTGCTAATAATATTTTTAGTTAAAAACAAAAAGGAACTGGAGATTTAGATGTCTGTGATAGATTTATAAGAAGATAAAAGTTCCATGATACCATCATTCTTGGTTTCCAAATGGTCGGGATCTTTCCCTTTTCATCCATCTCTGCCCCATCCACTCCCATATACACTCAAGCCCAATAGACAACTAGAAAGAGTTGGAGGAAAATTGAGAAGGATGCAAGAGAGAAGGGGGAGACTTGCTAGAGTGATGACCTTCAGTAGAAGAAAGTGGATGAGATCTAGTGTCCAGGTGGAAGGGCTGGTCTTGGATAGGAGCAAAGTGCAGTTTATCCATAGTTGCCAGATGGAAAGAACAATATTTAGGCACTGCTGCTGTTGTATGGGTACATGTGGGAATGGGAACAGCAGTTCTCCTCTAATTGCTTATATTTTCTTAGCACATGAAACAGAGGATTGTGGGAGAGGCTCTGAGGGTTTTGAGAGAAAAAGGAGAAAGTAGTAAACAGTTCTCGAAAAAAGTGACCAAGTGCATGGAATACGAAAATGTTGTAGAATTGTTTGGCAGCATAAAAGCCTCTGAGATGAATGATCATAAATTTAGAGGGAGACTAATCAGTTAGTTTGGTTGTATGTTTTCCTCTGGAGACACTGAGGCATACCACATAGATGCAGCCCAGGTGGAGAGCAAATCCAATCACAGTGGGTTTTTCCAAGTATACAAGAGTATAAGGGAATTGAGAGTGTGTATGAGGAAGAGATTAAAATGATGGATGGTTGGAATTCAAGCTAGGAAAATAGTGAAGCAAGGAGGAAAAGTTAAGGAACAAGAAAAGGTGGTGGAATAGATGAATTACAAGTCTCAAAAGGTGAAGGAGTGTTGGTGTAAGCTGAAAAATAGAAGGTTGTGGTTGGAGATGGTGGTTCTTGAAATTGAGTTTATGCAAGGCTTACAGTTATTGCTAATGACCAGGTCTCTAGGGGCTGACCCTTTGGAGAAGTGAATGAGGTCAGGTGAAGGACAAGATCATTGGAGGAAAGTTGAGAAACTGAAAAGATTCAGTGCTGGAAACATCATCTGTATGGCTATTGAAATCAGCAAGATATATGGTAGGATTGGTGTTGGAGAAAATGACTGCTAAAATCTTCTAGGAATGAAGTGGAGTAACTCAGGGACCAGTTATGGGTGGTACGTTCTGACAACAGAAGAGTCAGGAGTCAAAACAAGAGTCAAAGAGTCATATTTAGATTAAATTAAGTATGGAATTGGGGTTGAGATGGAAAGCAGACTTAGGTTTAAGATCATAAAACCTAATGATTTTGATGGTTTAACTGAATAATTTCAATGAGTGCCAAAGTAAGTTAATGCATGTTAAGCACTTAGAATAGGGATGGTATGACCCATGATGAGGGTCAGTAAGTGTTGTGGTGTAGTGACCATCAAGTGTGTTCTTTGAACTGTCCCATTCAGACTATTAGAAAATGAACATTGTTAAAATGCAGAGAAGATATTTCTCATTTGTATATGTTCAGAAATACTTATGCATACCAAAGAACTTCCAAAGTTTTACATATAAAAGGGTATTGTTTTGTTTTACTTCTATGAATATTCTATGAGAAACAGTGTTAGGATTCTGCCATATTTAACACCTACCCACTCCCACCACTTGCTTTTTACACAAGGGAATGAATGAATCTTAGCAATGGTTTTTTGAAATTGTTACCCCATTTACCAAAAATAGTGAGTGGTTGGGAATTCATGACTTTATATGATTCACTTCCTTTTCTTGATCTCAGTCACAAGCTCCATGAATGTAATCATTTGTCCCAGCAAGATAAGTGCTCAGTGAAGTCAATGAAGCTTTTAGGAACAGATCTTCAGTTGCATCTCAAAGAAGGAAAAAAATGAAAACAGGCTGGGATTAGAGGATGCAATGCAGTCCACTGTGCATTTTCTAAGAAATTTTAAAAATTCAGTTAAAAGTCATTTTAAGTAATTATTGTTTAAATTATACTTCTACAACCTCATTTCACAAAAGTAGGACACATTAAATGGGATGATCATTTTACCCAAGAACTTGTAACTGATGGTAATTGTTTTAATTTTCTTCTTGCGAGCCTAAATTATTCAAGTTTATGATAAAATCTCATTTTTCTTTGTCTTATTTATGTGGTCCCTGTGTCCCTATGTTCTGAATCATAGGCTGTTACTCTGAAGTGGAGCTGGAAGAGCCCAGAGGCTTTTTTTCCTCTCCAAGATATCCACTGGATTATAGAGGAAAACTGGAATGTTCTTGGGTGCTCAGAGTTTCACCAAGCAGTATGGCAAAATTTACGGTTGAGTATGTGTCACTCCCTGGGTCTCATGTGTGTGGCGATTCAGTTCTGACTATTTATGAAGAAAACCACAATGAGAGAAGGATGTCAGGTAAACCTTAGGGGCATTTATACGTTGTGCTGGGAGCCTTTTCTATGTAGGCGGCTTATGTTCAAAGGGAGAGTTTGACTTGGTAATAATACTGAAATGTTGATTCATGTAGTAGGCGTGACTTTTTTTCTAGGCACATTTAATATTTTCAAAATTTGAATTTACAAAACAGGTATACTAAAGTTTGAGTGGAAGTGTTTGTATGTATGTGTATTCGGAAAAAAAAAAAAAGACGGGAGAACCCAACTTCTTCAAACAGCAGAACCATGCCAGAATGCCAGAAATGTGTGTAAGACAGAGGAGGGGTTAAGATAATTAAAAATCATGCAGGGGGTAAGGTGCTGGATTTTCAAATAAAGCAAAATACATTAAAGGCTTTTAAAATGGTAGAATTAAAAAGATTTGCTAATAACATGCCAACTGTCATTTCATTTCCTGTACAGGCAAAACTGGTTTCGTTCAGCAAACTTGCCACCTGTTCTTTTTTTTTTTTTGCCGTATGCGGGCCTCTCACTGTTATGGCCTCTCCCGTTGCGGAACACAGGCTTCAGACGTGCAGGCTCAGCGGCCGTGGCTCATGGGCCCAGCCGCTCCGCGGCATGTGGGATCTTCCCGGACCGGGGCACGAACCTGTGTCCCCTGCATCGGCAGGCGGACTCTCAACCACTGCGCCACCAGGGAAGCCCGCCACCTGTTCTTTGTATAGGTGTAACACAGGCTTTTTGGCTGTCAGTAAAGGTGGAGGTGGGAAGGTGTTGGAAATAATTTGGTTGATGGGGATACCTGGAAAGAAAAGTTTAGGTATGTTACTCTGAGTGTGTGTGATTCACACACAAGTGCACGTGCTTGATTCAGGAGTATACGGAGGCCAGGGAATTGCTTTGAGGTTGAGATTTTCTCAGGATAAATTCTGAGAGATTGAATTATTGAATTAGAAGGCTCAAACGTTTATTTAAAGGATCTTTCTTTAGAAATGCTATCTCATTTAGACTGCAGAGAAAACGATTAACTGCCTATCCCCCATTGCACATTTTTCGCCTATGATCAGATTACCTTCCCCATCCACCCTGAGTAAAATGGCTCCTTGTAGCTGCAGTGAAATCCAGACTCCCTAGTATGACCTTTTGCCTCGCTCTCCCTTAGCTCATCATGCTGTCCCCTCAGGGCCCTTGTCCATCACCACCTCTCCCAGCTATTCAAAGACCTCTTCCTCATGCATCTAGTCAAGTCTTGACTAGAATGTGCCTTCTTTTTTTTTTGATTTGACATTTTTTAATATAATTTTAAAGGTTACTTTGCATTTACATTTGCATAGCTGAAACAAAATACTGGCTCTATTCCCCGTGTTCTACAGCACATCCTTGAGCCTATCTTACACCCAATGGTTTGTGCCTCCGACTCCCCCATCTCTATATTGACACCCTCCCCACTGGTAACCACTAATTTGTTCTCTATATTGGAGTCTGCTTCTTTTTGTTATATTCACTAGTTCTTGTTTTGTTTTTTTTTTTTTGAGTATAACTGCTTTACAATGCTGTGTTAGTTTCTGCGGTACAATGAAGTGAATCAGCTATATGTGTACCCATATCCCCTCCCTCTTGGAGCTCCCTTCCCCCACATCCCACCCATCTAGGTCATCACAGAGCACTGAGCTGAGCTCCCTGTGCTGTACAGGAGGTTCCCACTAGCTATCTGTTTTACACATGGCGGTGTATTTATGTCAAACTGAATCTCCCAATTCGTCCCACCCTCCCCTTCCCCACCTGTGTCCACATGTCTCTTCTCTACGTCTACGTCTCTATTCCTGCCCTGCAAATAGGTTCATCTGTACCATTTATCTAGGTTCCACATATATGAATTAATATATGATATTTGTTTTTCTCATTCTGGCTTACTTCATTCTGTAGGACAGACTCTATGTCCATCCACATCTCTACAAATGACCCAGTTTTGTTCCTTTTTGTGGCTGAGTAATATTCCATCGTATATATGCACCACATCTTCTTTATCCATTCATCTGTGGTTGGACATTAGGTTGCTTCCATGTCCTGCCTATTGTAAATAGTGCTGCAGGGAACACTGGGGTGCATGTGTCCTTTTGAATTATGGTTTTCTCAGGGTATATGCCCAGTAGTGGGATTGCTGGGTCATATGGTTGTTCTATTTTTAGTTTTTCAAGGAAACTCCATACTGTTCTCCACAGTGGATGTATCAGTTTACATTCCCACCAACAGTGCAAAAGGGTTCCCTTTTCTCCACGCCCTCTGCAGGATTTATTGTTTGTAGATATTTTGATGATGGCCATTCTGACCGGTGTGAAGTGATACCTCATTGTAGTTTTGATTTTCATTTCTCTAATAATTAGTGATGTTGAGCATCTTTTCATGTGCCTCTGCACCATCTGTACGTCTTCTTTGGTGAAATGTCTATTTAGGTCTTCCACCCATTTTTTTAATTGGGATCTTTGTTTTTTTGATATTGCGCTCCATGAGCTGTTAGAATATTTTGGAGATTAATCCTTTGTCTGTTGCTTTGTTTGCAAATGTTTTCTCCTATTCTGAGGGTTATCTTTTTTATGGTTTCCTTTGCTGTGCAAAAGCTTTTAAGTTTCATTAGGTCCCATTTATTTATTTTTGTTTTTACTTTCATTACTCTAGGAGGTGGGTCAAAAAAGATCTTGCTGTGGTTTATGTCAAAGTGTGTTTTTCCTATATTTTCCTCTAAGAGTTTTATAGTATTCGGTCTTACATTTAGGTCTTTAATCAATTTTGAGTTTATTTTTGTGTATGGTGTTAGGGAATGTTCTAATTTCATTCTTTTACGTGTAGCTATCCAGTTTTCCCAGCACCACTTATTGAAGAGGCTGTCTTTTCTCCATTGTATGTTCTTGCCCCCCTTGAAATAAATTAGGTGACCATATATGCGTGGGTTTATCTCTGGGCTATCTATCCCGTACCATTGATCTATATTTCTGTTTTTGTGCCAGTACCATACTGTCTTGATTACTGTAGCTTTGTAGTATAATCTGAAATCCGGGAGCCTGATTCCTCCAGCTCCATTTTTCTTTCTCAAGATTGCTTTGGCTATTCGGGGTCTTTTGTGTTTCTATACAAATTGTAACATTTTTTGTTCTAATTCTGTAAAGAATGCCATTGGTAATTTGATAGGGATTGCATTGACTCTGTAGACTGCTTTGGGTAGTATAGACATTTTTACAATATTGATTCTTCCAGTCTAGGAGCATAACATATTTCTCCACCTGTTTATGTCACCTTTGATTTCTTTCATCAGTGTTGTATAGTTTTCTGAGTACAAGTCATTCACCTCCTTAGGTAGGTTTATTCCTAGGTATTTTATTCATTTTGTTGTGATGATAAATGGGATTGTTTCCTTAATTTCTCTTTCTGGTTTTTCATTGTTAGTGTATAGGAATGCAAGAGATTTCTGTGAATTAATTTTGTATCCTGCAACCTTATCAAATTCATTGATTAGTTCTAGTAGTTTTCTGGTGGCATCTTTAGGATTTTCTATGTATAGTATCATGTCATCTGCAAACAGTGACAGTTTTACTTCTTCTTTTCTGATTTGTATTCCTTTTATTTCTTCTCTGATTGCCATGGCTAGGACTTCCAAAACTATGTTGAATAAGAGTGGCAAGAGTGTATATCCTTGTCTTGTTCCTGATCTTAGTGGAAATGCTTTCAGTTTTTCACCATTGAGAATGATGTTTGCTGTGGGTTTGTCATATATGGCCTATATTATGTTGAGGTAGGTTCCCTCTATGCCCATTTTCGGGAGAGTTTTTATCATAAATGAATGTTGAATTTTGTCAAAAGCTTTTTCTGCATCTATTGAGATGAGCATATGTTTTTTCCCCTTCAATTTGTTAATATGGTGTATCACATTGATTGATTTGCATATATTGAAGAATCTTTGCCTTCCTGGGATAAATCCCACTTGTTCATGGTGTATGATCCTTTTAATGTGTTGTTGGATTCTGTTTGCTAGTATTTTGTTGAGGACTTGTGCAACAAGCCCTAGGTCCCACACAGCCCGGAGCGGGGCTCAGAGGGCAGCGGACCCAGTCTGGGAGCCCAGCCGGCTTCCGGGGACAGGAGAAATGCTAGGCACACTCCCCCCATGATCCTCCGAGCCCCTAAGGGTCTCTCCAGGCGAAGGAACCCCTCCCCTCTCCCAGCCACCCCTCAGGGGCACCAGTCCTGTCCAGTCTCCACCTCTCCTCCCCTCTCACTCTCCCCACGTCCTACCTAGTTGCTTGAGGGTTTCTCCCATCTCCTTGGGTGTCAAAGTCCCCCACCAGCATCCAGTAGGTGCCCTAGTTTTGGGGAGATGCAAACTCAATGTCCTCCCATGCGGCCATCTTGACTCCGCCCCCCCACTAGTTGTATTTTTTAGATTCCACGTGTAAGTGATATCATACAGTATTTGTCTTTTTCTGTCTGACTTATTTCACTTAGCATAGTGCCCTACAAGTCCATCCATGTTGCTGCAAATGGCAACATTTTGTTCTTTTTTATGGCTGAGTAGTATTCCATTGTGTATATATGTCATATCTTCTTTGTCCATTCATACTTAGGTTGCTTTCATATCTTGGCAAGTGTAAATAATGCTGTTATGAACTTTGGGGTGCATGTATCTTTTTGAACTGGTGTTTTTGATTTTTTTGGATATATACTCAGGAGTGGAATTACTGGGTCATATCGTAGTTCTATTTTTAGCTTTTTGAGAAACAGTCATACTGTTTTCCACAGTGGCTGCACCAATTTACATTCTCACCAACAGTGTTCAAGGGTTCCCTTTTCTGCACATAGAATGTGCCTTCTTAATGAGGCCTACCTGATTGATGTGAATTTCATCACTCCCAGCTCTGTACTTCTTAGTGGCCCTTCTCTTGGCATTATTGTCTTCTAACCTATGAGGTTGTTTCATGTTTTTATGTCAGTGTCTTCCCTATTGATATGAGCTTCTCGAGGACTGAAACTCATCTCTTCACTTCAGGAATCCCCAGTCCTTAGAACGCTGCTGGACGAAATGAAGGCATTTAATAAATGAGTGACTGATTGAAAGGTCACCTCCTTAAATAGGCCTTCTTAGTCTTAAGTAGCATCATCCTTCACCTCCCACAGTCTTTTTCTATCATACTCTGTTGGTTATTTCATTTGTAACAGTGGTTTCTATTTGAAATCATCTTCTTCACTTATCTGACTCACATGAAAGCTTCATGAGAACAGGGATCTGGCTATTTATTTTTTCCTACTATGTCTCCCCAACTTGGGATAAATAGAGACTCAGAACATTTTTTTTTTTTTTACGTGAATACATACTGCTAAATTATTCTTCAGAAAGACTAAATCAGGGACTTCCCTGGTGGCACAGTGGTTAAGAATCCGCCTGCCAATGCAGGGGACATGGGTTCGAGCCCTGGTCTGGGAAGATCCCACATGCCATGGAGCAACTAAGCCTGTGCACCACAACTACTGAGCCTGCGTGCCACAACTACTGAGCCTGCGCACCACAACTACTGAGCCCGCATGCTGCAACTACTGAAGCCCATGAACCTAGAGCCCATGCTCCACAACAAGAGAAGCCACTGCAATGAGAAGCCCACACACCACAATGAAGAGTAGCCCCCACTCGTTGCAACTAAAGAAAGCTCGCATGCAGCAACGAAGACCCAACGCGGCCACAAATAAATAAAATTAAAAAATAAATAAATAACTATATTAAATACTTGTTTAAAAAAAAAAGACTAAATCATTTTTCACTGCCATTAGCAATGCATTAGAGCCTCTTTCACCATGCCCATAACCTGATATTATCAATTTAATAAGCATTTGTACTTTTTAAAAATCATTAATGAGGATAAATTTTTTTCATGTGTTGGTTAGCTATTTGTATTTTTAAATTTGTTGTCATTACCATCTATTTTTAAATTTGAGTATTGATCTTATTATTGGTTTATAAGAGCTATATATATGTATATATTTTATATATATATTAATACTTTTTCCTTTGTCATAAGTTACAAGTACTTATTCATAAGGTTGTCGTTTGCCTTTAAATTTTGTATATTTATACGTTGATGTAAATATTTTTAAATTTGTTGGTTTAAATACAGTCATATGTATCTTTGATCTTTGTTTTATCTCTTTGCTTTTATTTTTAAAAATTAATTTCTCAATCCAAGGTCAGAAATTTTTTAATTAAAAGAAGCTTAATCCTGCTGAAATATATTTTCTCATATGGTAAAATGGCCTTATGCCTGCTTTATTCTTTTAAAAAAATTATTTTCTCCCTAATTTATAGCTGTCTTTATCATATACCAGATTCTTATATAGAAGTAAATGATTTCTGGGAAAACTTGCCTTTATCATTGTTCTACTGAAAACCATGTTTGACTTTGTTGTGGATTACCTGGGGAACCCCTATAATTTTTCAATGTAGCATTTCTTTGATTTGAAATTCTCAGCTTGAAACTTCTGGAGTTGTTCTCTCCTTCAGATGATAGCTAGTGGAACTGTAGGACTATGATAGAAATATTACCTCTTACTCAAGTCAGGTAGTATTCTAGTACACTGTAAAATGCTATGTTTTTCCCTGTGGGAGCCAGAAACCATTCAAGAGCTGCGTTCATCTCTTCTTGCTATAAATAAATATTTGCTCATTCTTCAAATAGTATTTCAACATCATTTATCCTAAGATGTTATGCCAACTAATGTTTTTTTCTTCTTGTATATAATCTTCTCCCTTCTTTCCTCCCTACAAATATATATGGAACACCTACTGTGGGCCAGGGACTGACCCTTCTTGGTTGTGGGCATCCAGTAGTGAACAAAATGGACAAAAAAAATCCCCGCCCTTACCAACCTTATATTCTAGTTGGGGGAGGACACATAGTACAATAAAATATATAATATGTTAGACAGAAGGGCTGGGGGAAAATGACGTGGGAAGGGAGAAAAGAAGCATCTGGGATGCAGGTGTCATAGAGTTATATGCAGTATAACTGGCAAAAGTCCTTCTGAGCAGGTGACATTTAAATAAATGTTACAGAATGATATTGAGTTATTCTTAATAGTAGGTGACTTTGATTCTAAGAAAATCAAGGGTTCTTTCTATACCTTTTTAATCAGCCCTCTGAATCATTTTAGAATTATGGTTATAATTTTATGTTCTGTCTTTGACTTAGGTTCTTAAAGTAAAGTGATCAAAAGAAGATTGGATGTAGGGAAAGAATAAATTTTCAGGTAGAAAAAGTTTTCCATCATGGATTTTCACAGTGATATATTTTTAATAAATAGGTTACTTTTCTAGGAGAAAAATGGCACATCAGCCTTATTTTAAAGATAAAATAATTTGCTACCTATTGTCCTTCAAGGGAGCAGTGTGACATAGTCGACTGTAATAGGTATTGAATTTTTGAACGTGGCTTCCAATCCTGACTCCCCACCATCAGTCTGTGACTTTGGGTGAGTCATTTGAGTTCTGGAACCCTGCTCCTCATTTGGCAGAGTGGAGTTTAAGTAATTGCTACACCTAAATTAGAGAACTGTTAAAAAAGCAAATGTTCCTTTTTTTTTTAATCAAATTTGATTTTTGTTTTTTTAACCTAGGTGAATTATGTGGGAGAAGGCTTTACCCAATGATTTTCATGAGCTCTGGACCACTGGTGAGGGTGACATTTCATTCCCGTGTGCAAGGTGCTTTTGGCATAAATTATATTGTCTTTAGAGTCCAAGGTATGTTTGGTCATTTAGTAAACTTATAAAGTTAAAAATCAATGTTTTTGTTTTTAGGAATATTTCAAAACTTACACATTGTTTTGTAAGAAAAATTGTTTCTGTGGGGAACGAGCTTATGTTTGAAGGGAAAATCTATTTAAGTGATCTGAGATTGGTCTGGTCCAAGAGGAAAAACTACTCAGTAAATAAGCTGATTGACTTGTAAATCATTCAGAATTGTGATTTCTGGACATGGCTAAGATATATTGATTGCAAGATAGCATTTTTTATTGTGATTGTGATTTTACACCACACTGATCCTTTTCTGTAGCCATAATTCTTGTGGATTGAAAGATTTGAGTTCTAAATCTTAGCTGGCTGATTAGCTCTGGACAATTTATTATCTCTGTATTAGAGTTTTCTTTATAGTGATATTATAATAATAAAAGGTTAGAATGAGTTGTGAAAACAAACTAAACAAATAGTAGATGCTAGCATTATAAATGTAAACTCATGCAATTCAGAGTTTTCAGACTGCATTTTCAAACATGTCATTAGTGAGGTTTCTGACTCTTGATGAACGTAGGTAACCAAGAGCTAGGTTCTCTCTTTGGCACTGAAAAGCATTGCAGAGAGACAATTGGAAAAATGTTAAGTGAGTAATAAAGAAAGGCATGTATATCATAGGAAAGCTTTTTCCTAAAGAACTATGTTATGAATATTGCTTTTAACAAATATCAAATGACATCACATATATATATTCATATATATATATATATATAGTAGAATCTAAAATATGATACAAATGAACTTATTTACAAAACTGATACAGACTCACAGACATTGAAAACAAACTTGTGGTTACCAAAGGGGAGAGGGGCTTGGGGAGGGATAAATTAGGAGTTTGGGATTAACAGATACAAACTACTATATATAAAACAGATAAACAACAGGGAACTGTATAGCACAGGGAACTATATTCAATGTCCTGTAATAAAACATAACGGAAAAGAATATGAAAAAGAATATATGTGTGTGTATATATATATATGTGTGTGTGTATATATATATATATATATATGTAAAACGGAATCACTTTGCTATACACCAGAAATTAACACAACATTGTAAATCAATTATACTTCAATAAAAATTTTTTTCAAAATGAATATTGCTTTTATATGGAATTGTGCAGGGAACCTGCATTTTCTATAGTTATCACACTTTATCTTCCATAGACCCTAGGCTGTGCCAAAGATAATCTGAGAGAGGTGCTGGTTTTCTGTATGTTTTGAATGTTGCAGATAGAAAATTTTTAGTGAAACTAACTACCTCCTGTTAACTTTTTTCTAAAACAATTAGGGAGGAAAGCTGATAGCTCTGAGCTGAGAAGGCATATAACAAGCCTCTTTAAAATTAGTTTTACCTCAATCCCTTTTCTTCTTTATTTCTAGGTCCAAAGAGCAGTAAAACTACCAAATTTCCTCAGAGTTCAAACCAAGAGCATGTGACCACTTGTGATGATGTTATTCTTACCAAACCAACAGGAATCATACAAATCCCAAGATATTTTCACAGAACCACTGTGAGGTGAGGAAAGACTGTTTACTACAATGGAAGAAGTTCATGGATGATCCCTTGACAAGCAGGGACATTTGTTATTTGCTTAAGGCATTATTTTCTACTTCCTTCCCTTAAAGAATAGACTTTGAGATAATCCCTTATTTGAGGCCTTCAATATATGAAAACTGAATGTAAGATTACATTAATAAATACTGTTGATAAATTGTACTTTCCTAACAAAAGAGACTATTTATTAGGTAAAGTGGAAAGTCAAATCTCTATCAAAGAGTTTTGGAGATTGAAATAATGTACATAAAAGCTTCTTGCACATAGTAGGTACTCAATAAATGGTTCTTAAAATGCCACAGTGGAGGGGGCTTCCCTGGTGGTGCAGTGGTTGAGAGTCCACCTGCCGATGCAGGGGACACAGGTTTGTGCCCCGGTCCAGGAGGATCCCATGTGCCGCGGAGTGGCTGGACCTGTGGGCTATGGCTGCTGGGCCTGCGCATCTGGAGCCTGTGCTCTGCAGCAGGAGAGGCCGCAGCAGTGAGAGGTCTGCGTACCGCAAAAAAAAAAAAAAAAAAAAAAAAATGCCACAGTGGAGAGAGAACCTTCCCTGAATTAAACATTAGAATAAATTTAAAATGAGAAACAAAAAAATTGAAGATTCATATAGTATCAATCCTAAGTAAATTTATGTGATTTGGGGAAGTTTGGGACAAGAATACTTCTTTAACTCTTATAGGCTGCCAATCAGAATTTATAAAATACAAGTGGTTGACCAACCATTCACCATAACGGGTGAACTTTTGACAAATTCAGTATTAGAAAATATTTTTAATTGTTACAGTTTAAATCTTTCTTTCACCTTAAGCACAGAAGAAGCAGGTAGAGTCAATAACAGTGACTCACTGAGTGATGCATTGAATTATGAACAAAGTAAACAACAACATATGCTATTTAGAAGTCATTTCTGACTTTCTTTCATCTGTGCTACAGCTGCCACTGGAGATTATTGGCCCCTTCAAATCATATCGTTCGCCTTGATATTGTCAACTTCCAGATGCAACCAATGCCCTTGGCCTGTCAGGGTCACCTGTGGGTTTACGAAGGATTTGGATCAGGCAAAAAATTAATAGGTAACTAATTTCCTGTGAAGAACTATGCTATTGATTTTCTTTCACAAAATATTCTTAGAGTGTTTTATATTCAGTGTGTGAATTACAGATGACATAAATTAGTCTCTTATGTGATATTGAAATAGCCTTACTGTTACTATTTTTTATTGTAATTGAAATTAATGTAACACTCTCTGATTAAGTTAAAAAGGAAAACCCAACTATATGCTGTTTACTTGGGTCATACCTAGATTACACTTGCCCAGAAATACTAAAAATAAAGGATAAACAGTCTTAGACAAATGTAATGCAAGAAAATTGAGAATATAATATTAATCAGGCAAAATAATGTTCACAGGAAAGGCATTAAATGGGTTTGTCAGTTAGATAGTAACCGAAAACCTGATTACAGTGACTTAAATTCTGAAAGAAAGAAATCCAGAGGGATGCAGATGCACCACCAGCTCAACAGTTCAACTCTGTGAAGAATGGCATTACTGCAATTCTCTTGGCCTTTTCCTAATGGTTCCATAATGGCTATCTCAGTTGTCACCATTACACTGGAGGAAAAAGGAAGAAGGGGCACAGGGAAGGATTATCACCAAGGAGAAAGCAAATACGTTTCCAGGAATCCTGTAGCAAATTTAAGTCACTTTGGCCAGATTTGTCACATGGCCATACCTAACTGGGAGATGACTAGAGAAAAGGGAAATGGAAACAGGGTTTGGGCTGGCTGACTGATGTTACCCAATATACCCGGATATAGCAGCCTAGAGTTCTGGAATCTGACGGTCCTGCGTCCAGTAGATCACAGTTCTACCACATAGTAATTCAGTGACTTTGGGAATGTTCCCAAAGCTTTCTAAGAATCACTGTCCTCATTTGTGACATGAAGATAATCTACCTGTAACTTTTTGTGTGATTTAAAAGAAGAGACACTCTGCCATCACTAGCACACACAGGTACATGGACATTAAAAATTCCCAATTTAGGGCTTCCCTGGTGGCGCAGTGGTTGAGAGTCCGCCTGCCGATGCAGGGGACACAGGTTCGTGCCCTGGTCTGGGAAGATCCCACATGCCGCGGAGCGGCTAGGCCTGTGAGCCATGGCCGCTGAGCCTCTGCGTCCGGAGCCTGTGCTCCGCAATGGGAGAGGCCACAACAGTGAGAGAAAATTCTCAATTTGCTTAAGTCAGAGATACAGATGCCTAAGGTAACAAGGTGACTCCCAGAGGGAGAGGATGTGTGGCATTTTCCTGGCCTTTGACTCTTTAGAAAGGACCCAGATGCCAGTGTTACTCTCCACGTAGGTAGAGCCCTGCCAGAGTTGATAAAATAGCCAGTTGCTAACCCACTGTCCTTTTATTCTTCGGGCTTACATTACCATCCCAGAAGCAGGTGTATTAACAATCTTTGTGTTTCTACTTAAGGGAATGTTAGTAAACATGGAGCTTTCCTGGTTCCTGAGTCAACATGACATCAATAAGGGCTTAGCTTCTTGTGGGGAGACTATAGCATCTAGGCCCAGTATCCTTGGAAATTATCTATGCTTCTTGCCTTACAGAATACCTGTTACTTGTACTGCTTCATGAGATTAATTTGAGAATTAAATGAGAGAATGCATGTTAACCAATATAAAAGAAACCAAGTTTCTGCTCTGTTTGAATTAGAATTATACATTTTAATTCATATTCTTAAAATTGTGGTGCTTAGAAGAAAAGATTAGACTGTTGTTTCCCTATTGCCTCTCCATCAATGGGGTGTTGGAGAACACACAGTTTGGAAGAACAAAGAAATGAAGAAAAATGGAAAACAGTATATTAGTTATATCAGTTATAATTTATAGAATTAATGAACTATATATCTGTTGTTCTTTACTTAGAATTTGTTCTTTACTTAGAATTTGTTCACAAAACATGTAATATTTCCTATCTTCTTCCACAAAAATTTTATGACTATTTCAATTTTTGCACATAAGACTCATAGCCTATAGGAGTTAACTCAATTTTTGAGGTCAATAGGTTACTGAATGAATATTTTTAACATAACCGACTATGCTATATCCCAAGAACGCACGAATAGTTTAATATTGAAAATGTATTATCTATCTTAAAACTAGGTCAAATCAGGAAAAAATAGATATAAATTAATGATACAATAATCGTATCCTTAAAACCATCCCAGTAAAAATTAGTTAAAAGATATAGTGGAAAAATCACTTCAGTCATAATTAGCAACAAAAACCATGTAACTAAGAATAACCTTAAAATGAAATGTGAGTTTTATTGTGCAAATGTGAAATTTACACACACACACACACACACACACAGATCTGAATAGAGAAAAGACCATGTTCTAAAACTGGAAGACAAAATTAACATTAATTCACCCCAAATTAATTTATAAATATAGCAAAATCTAGCAAAATCCCAATGGGAATTGTTTTTGGAGAGTGAGGAGGAAATTGATAATAACTCTAAAGTTTATCCTTAAAATAAACAGAACTAGCTGAAAATGTTTTTGGGGAAAAAATGACCAGATGATGAGGTGAATTATCAGTATTAAAACATACTTTAAAATAATGATAATTAAAACAGGGTAGTACTGGTACAAGAATAGACACACATGACTAGAAATAAATAGACCAGAAGGGGCACAAGAAACTATAAGGCATTTATATGTGATAAATTTGGCATTACAAATCAGGGAGGAAAATATAAATTATATTCTCTCTCACCTCATAGAACAGTTGATTAAAGAGTTAAGCATTTTTCTTAAGCCACTAAAGGTTTAAAATATAAGCAATTAGTTGTGGATGGAGAAGGATCTTCTCATGTAAAAGCAATCGAAGACAATAGGAAATTATCAATAGCCTCCTTTATAACTAAAAACTTTTCTTCAACAGAAACAAAATTAAAAAGCAAATAACAAACTGAAGATTTTCAACAACTCTGAGAAAGGCTTAAGGTAATTAATATAGGGAATGTTTACAAATCAGTATTAGAAAAGCCCAAATCTGTAAAATAAAATTAATTTACAGGCCCAAATATCTTTGACTCAGCCTTGAATAAATTTCAGTTAAAACCAGAGTTCCCAAGGCTTTTGAGTCTTTTGTTCATGTTCCAAAAGAATTACAAACTATTGACCCAAGTGATTTTGAAAACAAAAAGCACTGGATTAACCCTTAACCTCTTTTGATAGATAAGAAAGGTTAATGAATATTTGCATATCAGCTACTGTACAATCTAAATTAAATCTCTCCTTATTTTGTCTCTTGTCACAATGAAGTGATCCTCTGGCCATCTGTTTACTAAAAAGGGCAGTTTTCCTATAATAGTGAAAAGCTTAACAGTTCTAGAATTGTTGACTTGAAACTATGTGTGTTATAACTGCTTTTGTTAGAATGTTTGTTTCAGAAAATACCGTGTATGAACAGTTAAACTTAGAAATGGTTTGTCACAGGGAGCAGATTTGAATCATCAACCTTATGATAATAAACCCTGACTCAACAATTGTAAAGCACAGCTATATTCTTTTAGAATTAAGAGGATCCCTAACATAAAAATTTTTAAATAGTACAATAAGAGTTTAATCAATTAATTTTAAAACACAATTCAGAATTATTTTCCCAGATATACCTTAATATAAAAATGGGCAAGTGATCTGAATGAGCAATTCATAGATAAATAAATACATGTGAGAAAAAATACTTAGCCTCTTTAAAACGGAAATGAAAAAAATTTTTACCTACTTAACTGACAAAAAAAAGATTTGAAGAATGATTATACTTAGTAAACAAAATGCAGTGTAACAGACATTTTCAGGTTGTTGTTTAGGTATAATATGTCGTATGCTTTCTGGAGGAAGATATAGAAATGTTTTTCAAAAGCTATAAATCTATAACCTTTTATTCAGCATTTCTATTTTTACCCATATTTATAAAAAATATGCCTTGCATTTATGTGTAAGATATTCATTCAGCTGGTGTTATTTATGATAATGGCCAAAAAAAAAAAAGGATCTAAATAGGAAATTGGTTAAGAAAAGTACAGTAAGTCCATAGGATAAAATATTATGCCACCACTAAATAAAATATTTTCAGCTAACTTTTTTAGAAGACAGAAAACTCTTACATGTAATATTGTAACTGAGCAGGATCCTATAGGGCCTTCCCGGGACAGGCCTTCCCCCCCATACTCTGCAAATTTCCTGAGTTGTTTTAGATGTGGACCACCAACACTCCCCACCCCACCCCCCCCACCCCCCACTAAATGGAAGATGTTAACTACTTGATGACCATGAGCACAGAGCCCCAGGCCTCCTGGAGCCTAAGGACTGATAAAGTTAACCCCTGTGACATCACCCTGTTCCCTCATCATCAGGCAATCAGAGAATTGTGCGCAATCTGATCACATACCCTGCGACACCCCACCCCCACCCCACCAACCTGGCTTTTAAAAATGCTTTCCCTAAACCCTTCGGGGAGCTTGAGGCTTTTTAGGGCATGAGTCTTGCATGGCCTTGCAGTAAACCTTTCTCTGCTCCAAACTCCGACGTTTCAGTTTGTTTGGCCTCACCGTGCGTCGGGCACATGAACTTGTGTTAACAATATTAAGTGAGAAGATTGGAATGAAAAAATTACACAGTATATTTTAATTTTTTTTAAGTGCTATATATGACTTAAGTAAAAGTCTAAGGGGAAACACACCAATATGTTTAAGTGGATATTTCTAGATTGCAAGATTATAAGTAATTATTTTTTAAATTCTCCAAATTTTCTCCAGAGAATGGTTAAACATTCTTATCTTAAAGAAAACTATAAAGAGCAAAAGATGAGGGACTTCCCTGGTGGAGCAGTGGTTAAGAATCTGCCTGCCAACGCAGGGGACACAGGTTCGAGCTCTGGGAAGATCCCACATGCCATGGAGCAACTAAGCCCGTGTGCCACATCTACTGAGCCCATGTGCCACAACTACTGAAGCCCGCATGCCTAGAGCCTGTGCTGCACAACGAGAGGCCACCAAAATGAGAAGCCCGTGCACTGCAACTAGAGAAAGCCCATGCACGGCAACGAAGACCCAATGCAGCCAAAAATAAATAAAGTTATTTTAAAAAAATAAATAAAAAGCAAAAGATGAAAGAAAAATGTTTTGTTCTAGAAGCTGAACTAGATTCATAGGGTAGCAGTTACAGAGAACTTCATGACAGCAGTCTGGCTATTAGCAGCAGCCTCACAAGAGAGAGAACCATCGGTGAGGATCAGTCTCCATCATCTTCTGAAGGATGCTTTAGAAATCCAGGGGTGATGGGAGGTTGAGTGAAACCCACCAGCTAGTGGTTTTGACTTTCATGCCAGTTACTGTACCTTGCCTCTTATTCATTTGGCTGTGCTGTGGATAAATGAAGGTTGTATGTAGCTAAGGCTCAAATATACTCCCTTATATGTAGTTATTTCAGTTGGGTGACAAAAATATTTTTTTAGTTCCCTGATGACCTAGCTAGACTGAAACCAGCCTCTGTACCTCGAGACCAAATTAAATCTTGGAGACAGTTTTGGGTGAGGTAGAAAAGAATAGCTTTATTACTGTGCAAGGCAAAGGGGGTCACAGTGGGCTAAGGCCCTCAAAACCGTGTGTCCCCACTTGGAGAGGGTAGTGAGAAGTTTTATAGTAATGGTTCAAAGAGGGCATGATCAGCTCGTGGACATTCTTCTGACTGGTTGGTGGTGAGGTAAGTAGGAGTCAGCATCATCAACCTTCAGGTTCCAACTAGTCTGGGGCTGTGTGCTTGTGAGCAGCATACCATGGTTAATTGTTAACTTCTCCTACCTGGAGGGGGTTTCAGTATCTGCAGAACAGCTCAAAGATATTGCTGTGGGTATCCGTTGATGGGGAGCCAGGACCTTGCCCCAACCAGGCTGTACTATTGTTTCTCTTGACTGTTTCTCCCTGGTCTCGCATCCCCTCCCTTTCCTCATTAGCAACTGCTTGAATCTGCCCTTTGAAACTCAGGGAAGGTCATGGAGGCTGAATGGAGGCTGTTTCCTGTAATTCAAGAAATGGGGACACAGAAAGCCTTTGTGCTCAGGAGCCCCACAGGGCCCTGCTCGGTATCAACCATGTTACCTTCTTTTATACTGTATAGCTTTAAAAAGACCTACCTAAGTATTTCAGACAGTACAAGAACTGGATACAGTGTCCTAGTTGGTTTGGAACCACTTTCTTAGAACTGCTTACACTCAAGAATCTGGAACATCTCTCTCTATTCTAATTAGGTTTTATTTTGCTTAATTTTCCCATTTTTATATTGTTGGTAGGGGATACAGTATAAATTTGTATTAAAAATAGAATTTTTTTCCTTTCACTTTGCTCAATAACTTTGCCTTGATGAATAGTAAAAATTTATTTTATTTTATTTTTTTTGTCTAGGAAATCTATGTGAAGGAGATTCACCTTCACTAAAATCTCATGGTCCTCTTATGATGTTGATTTTCACATACAATGTCAGTTTGCCCATGAAAAAATTTTCTTTGAGATATTCTTTTCATATGTCTGGTAAGTCTATTACTTTTTTCATATTTGTTTTTGTGTATGTTTGTCTTATTGTGCTTTATTAGAAAATATGTGTTATCAAATAAAGAGATTTGAATTCTTTATTTCATTTGTCAGCTATAGGGGAGAAGAAAAAAGCAATATTTAAGATTGTGATTTAAGATTGTGACCTCTGTGGAGGTCTCAAGCTAAACCTCCTTAAGGCATAAGAGTGATCAGATTTTTCATTTTTTCTTACAGCAACTAATAATTTTGTCTAGTTTTCTGTATACTTGGAATACTGTGAAAATACAGTAGGAAACTTTTATCCCTAGCCTAAAAGTTTCAAGTAATTTTTCTATTTTGAAATTCATTTCCTTAATGTACTAATATCAAGAGTAATTGATCCTTTTTTTAACACTTGTTTGGTGGATAGTTCATATGTATTAGTTGTAACCAGATTATTGAAAAATATGCTTTGCCCAACATTCCTATAGTTTTGGTGAAGGGATAGACAGCATTATGAAAATTGGAACTTCTGCAAATTATGGAAATTGGGTGTCATGGAAAAAGCATTTGCAATTATGCTTAATTCTGAATAGTTATTAGAATTGCTCTAGTCTTTAAGATTAATCAATTCATACTCATTAAAATTGTTAATTGGAATACAATTGTAGAAATATTTCTACAAAAAACATTATATTTTTTAGTCTGATAATGTGAGAAATGTTGTATGGAGAACACAAAGAAGATTTGCATCAAGTTCAAATTATGTAAGTGAAAGTATACCGTAAGGGGCTAACATAAAATAGAATAAAATCTCACATTTAAGCCTTTAATTATTCAGACTATCAACAAATTGTTTTAAACTTATGCCAGGCCATGTTTAAAGCACTGAGGATTCACCAATGAACAAGACAGTCCCTGCCCTAGAAGAGTTTACAGTCTAGTGGGGGAGATAGTCAGTAATCTGTAAACAGAGAAGGACAGAGATTGTTGCTTATCACCCAGTTCTGCCATGATTAAGCCACTGCAGTAGCTGATGGACAGTGTATTCTGTGCTTCAGAGAGAAGAAACTAAGGTGATAACAGGATGCTCTGTGCTTTGGAAAAGGAGGCCCCTTGCATAATTAGATGTATATCTCAGGAAGAATTTTAATGAACCCAGATTTTGCATTTTCCCATACACAGAAAAGCACTAAAATCATTAACTTCAGATCTCTGTTCTTTGTGACTAGCAGTAGTGTTTTATCAAGACTTGTGCTTGACTGCACATATACCCTAGCCAAAATCACATTTAAGCTGTCTTCTCCCCCTACCTCTTCGGAACAGCTTCCTCAGAGCTACTGAGTGGTTGTCCTCAGTAAGACCCTGAGTAAAACAAACTCATAGCTCTTAGGTTGTGCATTTTTCTTTCAGTCAACTAATCAAATAATCTCATAGAAAAATATAGAGTGAAAAAACAACTATATTAAGTTTTGAAGGAGATATCTTATTTAGTTCGGTAAAGGATGGGCGTGGAATTCTAGGAAAACTTTAATTTCTTTGTTCTCTTACAGCAAAACACCTTTTTTTTTTTTTTATGGTACGTGGGCCTGTTACTGTTGTGGCCTCTGCCGTGTTGGAGCACAGGCTCCGGACACGCAGGCTCAGCGGCCATGGCTCACGGGCCCAGCCGCTCCGTGGCATGTGAGATCTTCCCAGACCGGGGCCCGAACCTGTGTCCCCTGCATCGGCAGGCGGACCCTCAACCACCGCGCCACCAGGGAAGCCCAGCAAAATACCTTGAAATGTATTTCTACTCACTGTCTACCCTTTTACCCTTTCATTTTTTCTTGAATCCATTCCCATAAGGCTCCCTTTCTTACCATTCCCCAGACAGTGTTCTTGCCAAAGCTACCAGTGACCTCCAAAGGTTCAGATCCAACAGTCACTTCTCAGTCCTAATAGCTGCATTTGGCACGGATAAGCTCTTCTTCCTTCTGGAGTTTCATTTGTCATGGCCTCCAGGAAACCACTGTTTCTTGGCTATCCTCTTACTTCACTGGTCTCCTTGGAGTCTCTTGGCTGGTTGCACCTCCTTTTCTCTACTATTAAAAGTTGAGGTGTCCCAGGACCCAGTCCTTGACTTTCTTTTCTTCTCTGCCTGTAGTCACTCTTAAATGATCTCACCCAATCCCTAGTTTTAAATACCATCTTTACACAGATAACTCCCAAAGTGTATTTCCAGTCCCAACTTTTTTTTTTTTTTTTTTTGCGGTTCGTGGGCCTCTCACTGCTGCGGCCTCTCCCGTTGCGGAGCACAGGCTCCGGATGCGCAGGCTCAGCGGCCATGGCTCACGGGCCCAGCCGCTTCACGGCACGTGGGATCCTCCCGGACTGGGACACGAACCCGCGTCCCCTGCATCGGCAGGCGGACTCTCAACCACCGCGCCACCATCTGAACTACAGTGCTGTATATCCAATTGCCTCCTTCTTCATTTGGATATCTAATAAGCATCTCAAACTTAACATGACCAGAATTCAAGTCTTGATTTCTACCCCTGTCTCCAAATTCTTCCTCCACCAATCTTCCCCACCTCAGTAGATGGCAACTACAGTTTAATAATTAATTGCTCAAGCCATTATCTTGGTCATCTTTGACTTTTCTTCTCACATCTCTCATTGGATTTAGTTAATCTGTGGGCCTTCAGCAAAACTGATCTGGAATCCAACTACCTCTCAACATCACTATGACATTCTGATACAAGCCTTTTTTTAGTCTGTTTTACTCATAACAGCCAGAATAATCATTTTAAAAAGAATAATTCAGATCATGTTACTCCTCTGCTTATAATCTTTCAATATTTTCCCTGCTCACTCTTAGTAAAAGTCCTTACAGTGACCTATAAGATTCTATATGATCTGGCTCTTGGCTACCTCCTTGACTACTTCTCCTGCCATTTTCCCCAGTGCTCACTCTACACCATCCTTCCCGCTGTTCCCCAGACACACCAAGCATGCCCCACGGCTGTTATCTCCAAAATGTACAACATGCCTAGCAAATAGATGATGTTCAAGAATTGTTTGAGTAAAGGAAATGACATCCTAGCTGGGGTAGATTAGTGAGTAGAGAGTAAGGAGGTAGCTCCCTATCTAATAAATGGGTAAGAAATACATCTGTTTTGCCTATAGAAATCCCTTTGGCTTAGAGCTAAAAGATGAATAGAAGTCAACTCAGCAGACTTCGTACACGTGTTCGATTTCTGTTTTCAGATAAACATAGAAAAGCTTTAGTGCAGACGTTTTTCTAACAACAACAGAAATGTAACAGATTTACCCCATGTGTAAGGTTTGTTAAAGATCTGACTCATCATTCATATTCTTGAGATTACAAATTAAAATATATCAGTAGAAATTGTTATATCTATGTGAGTAAAATATATAAAACCATTAAAATGTATGTGCAATATTTAGTAGTATGGAAAAATATTCACAATTGGGGGGTAGGGGAGGTTACAATGGTGTAAAATGAAATACAATTTAAAAATGTATATACTATAGCTTAGGAAAAAGCAGGAGTTACATTAAAATATGAGTATTGGTTATAGGATGGGACTACAGGAGACTTTTATTTTCTCCTTTGAAATCTGTTTTGTTTTTTGAAATTTTCTACAATGTAAATGTATCACTTAAACAAAAGAATAAAATATAAAGTATTAAATAGGATATATTTACCTTGAATATTCTCTTATTCTAGATTCTGTGAAAGGAAAAATTAATGGTAAAGAGGATAAAGGAGGTAAGGAATTGGCTTCATTGTCTTGGCTTTGTTTACCTGATATTATGGAAATAAGAGTGAGGAATATCTTTGCTGCTAAACACTATTTAGGAAGAAGTATACTCTGGCTGCTATCAAAAACTTTCAAGTGTTGTGTCCTTATTCTATTTGCTTTATAGTGAAATATGGACTTGTACTAGTTTTCTGAGTGTCAAACTTTGGGGGTGGTGGAGACCTGGGTCAGATCACAGAGTAGAGAGTAACAAGGTAGCGCCATATCTAATTAATGGGTAAGAAACACGTTTTGTTTATGGGAGTTTCCCTAACAATTTTAATTCTATTATTCATTAACATTCTTTCCATATATTTTATGTCTTTTGGATTGTGCATGTATCTCTCTCTCTTTTTCTTTTTTGGCTGGGCCATTGCATAGTGAAACAAAAATGATAAGATTATTGATGAAGTAAATGTTTTTGGATGACATTAACTTTAGGTTGGATAATACCTAGAGCATTTGGAGTAAACCCAAAATGTCACTGAATTCCTCAATTCTCTTTTTGGTGTAGTAGCCCCTTGGCCCTTGTGAACCTTCATATCCTGGTTTCAACTATCTGAGAGTAATCCAAATTTCCCTACCAAATAAATGATCGTAATTTGAAGTGTAGGCTGCATTTTAGGAATGTTTAATTTACTCAGGGATTTAGAAGATTGTGTGCTAAAAATGAGCAACAAAACTACATTGAAATGTAGACATGGTTGACTTAGTGGTTCACAGTTTGTGAATTAAAGTCAAAGAACTTTAACCTGTCTTCTTTTGGGAGGTGTCAGTTTTTCAAAACAAGTAATTTAAACCCTGTGTCACCATACACAAGAAGCTATGGAAGCAAAAAAAATAGTGATAGAACTTCATAAAAGTACACTATAGTTTAGGTTTTAATGACCTAGTTGTAGACATTAAAACCAGATCCTTCATTATTGTATTAAAGGTTTTTTTTTTCTTTTTGCCTCAAGGATGTCCAGTATTGGATTTGATTCCAGTTAGCTCTATTGAGATCACATCTCCCAATTATCCTAACATTTATCCTAACATGCTGAACTGCACTTGGACTTTTTATTCTATGTCAGGAAATAAAATGAAAGCAGTGATTAAAGGCTTTATAACAGAAGAATCTTGGAACTGTGAATGGGATTACTTCAATATTTATGACGGACCAGATCAGCAATCAAGATTACTTGGTAAACTGAACTTTCTTAAATGTCCTGCACTGAGTGGCATTCATATAAGCATTTATATAATCATATATATGGAAACCATGACCTATATTTGCCTTTAGAATGATATCATTTGTTGTCAGTGATTCTCCATCAGATCCTTCATCAGAATCCTGAGTATTATTGAACACAATGGGATGAGCATGAGGCCGTACTCATTGGATCTTGACCTTTAACTCCAGCTCTTTTTGATTTCATCCAGTCATTCCTATCTCATTTTACCATTAGGGAGCACACTAATTTTGTTTTTCTCAGGAGGTCATATGTTTTAAGAGGTTTTATTTCCTAAACTTCATTTTTAGGTAACTTTTTGAAATTTGTTTACTCAAGTTTCATCCTCACAGTAAAGGTGGTTAGACCCAGCGTAAATTATTAAAAGGTAAAGGTCAATTAACTTGAATAATCTTTGGAGATTTATTGACCACATGGTGTCTACCATGTTTGGATGTCAGGCAATATCTTGCTCTAAGACTGACTCATAGAGGGAACTTTTCCAAAGATTTTGTAATTCAATATTGTATCACCTTCTCCAATCTCCAACCAGTTCTGCCAATCAGGACACCATTACAATCCACCTATCACAAAGGGCAAGAGGAGAGGTTTTTTGTTTTTTTTTTATTTTTATAAATTTATTTATTTATTTTATTTTTGGCTGTATTGGGTCTTCATTGCTGTGCGGGGGCTTTTCTCTAGTTGCAGCAAGCAGGGCTACTCTTTGTTGTGGTGTATGGGCTTCTCATTGCGGTGGCTTCTCCCGTTGCGGAGCACGGGCTCTAGGCATGCAAGCTTCAGTAGTTGTGGCATACGGGCTCAGTAGTTGTAGCTCATGGGCTCTAGGGTGCAGGCTCAGTAGTTGCGGTGCACGGGCTTAGTTGCTCCATGTGGGATCTTACTGGACCAGGGCTCAAACCCGTGTCCCCTGCATTGGCAGGTGGACTCTTAACCACTGCGCCACCACGGAAGCCCCTAGAGGAGAGTTTTTTTGTTTGTTTGTTTGTTTGTTTTTGTGGTACGCAGGCCTCTCACTGTTGTGGCCTCTCCCATTGCGGAGCACAGGCTCCGGACGCGCAGGCTCAGCGGCCATGGCTCACGGGCCCAGCCCCTCCGCGGCATGTGGGATCTTCCCGGACCGGGGCACAGTCTCTCAACCACTGCGCCACCAGGGAAGCCCCAAGAGGAGAGTTTTGATGCTATCTTTTTCCAGGGACCTTAACCACTCCTATGATATTCTAGGATTTATAACTCCAGTAAGTTCAGCAATGTGCTTTGAAATTCCAAAGTTATCTAAATTTTTTCTTATCAACGAGTTTGGTTCCTGCCAAGGATTCTAAAGCAATTGAGAGTATGGAGGCGGAGGAGATACAAAATATCAAGCTATCAGTTCTCCATAAGATTAATATGAGGTGTCTATAGCATCCAACCATACAACCCTAACTCTTGTGAATGCCTTTCAACCAGAGACCCTTGGAACATACCTGGAGTTGAACAAGTTAGATTTATTACTCATTGTGGAGAGGGAAAACACATATCCTGGAAAACCATGCGTTGTTAAAAGGGTGGTAGAGAGAACCTATTACAGTACTTAGGCTTTGGTTGGGTAATTTTGGAGAAGGTCTAGAGAAGTGGACTTTGCTCTAGATTGCTTGCAGGAAGTAGGGCAATTTTATGATTGGGTATATCAATCATAGGGAGCCCTGACTAGAGTAAAGATAAAACTGTAATTGGTAAAGACATAGCAAGCTCTCATTTCAGCCATGAGAGGTCAATGTTTGATATTTTTGTTGGTTACAGATGACCTTGTTTTTGTCTCATTTTATCATAGATTCAGAGTCTTGTCTGATGTTGATGTCCTGTGAGATTGTTTATGTCCAACAGGAGAACACAGTCCAGCTGTGAGAGCTGGACCAGTTCTTGGATGTCAGGGCTGCATTTCTCTTTCTCACTCTTTAGTATTCCTCAACCTGACAACATTATTCCTCTTTAAAAGTTCTGATTAATCAAAAATTCATGGGTGTCAAAAGATTACAAATGAGACAACTAATATTTCTATAATTAGCTTATACAATTCTATATAAAAGTGAGGACACTATCACTAGTTTGCTAGTTTATACAGTTTTATTTCATATACTTTTATGTACTTACATAGTTTTAGTTCAGTGAAATATGCAATTTCTATAAGCATTGTTAAACTGTTGAACACTGAGCCCCATTGCTACTCTCCCAGCTAGTTAGAAGGGCTAGCCCATATGTGGAACCACATTGTTTATATTCTCTTAGTTATCTTTTCTTAGTAAATCTTTTTGCTCACCTAAATAGAATTTATCAGTTTTTAGCTAGTTTTTAATTATTTCTGTGAATGTAAATGGAGTGGTACACAGCCTCCAAGTTGTCTTCATTGCAATGCTTTTATAATATTTTAATGAAAAGAACTTAGCAAAATTAACATTCATCTGGTCTTCCTCCTTCCATTTACCCCATGAAGGTAAGACATCAGTAACCAGTAAACACCATATTAAACGTACAGGTTAAATTCATTCATGACTAAGCATTTTCTAATGTGATAGGCACCTTGAAGAAACAATGGTAAACAATTCAGAAATGATCACTGCCACCTTCTTTTGGGAAGACAGATGATAAAGAAGAAGAAAACTAGTAACAGTATTTAACAATAAATAACAATCAAGTAATTATTGATTGTCAACGTAATCTGAAGGAAATAAGTTGCAGCAAAAGTATGGAATAATAGTGGGTAAACAGTTGCTTTAGTTAATATGGTCACAGAAGATTCAAAGAATGAAAAGGAAACAGCCAGGCAAGGCCAGAATAGCAGGTGCCAAGGTGTCTAGTACCTATCTGACCTTACCTCCTACCATTCTCCCTCTCCTTCACCCAAAACCAGGCACACTGGCTTCTTTATTCTTCCTCAGGCTAACCGACCATATTCCTGCTTGGCCCCAAGGTGACTTCAAGGTTCACTTCCTCAGTTCATTCAGGTGTCTGTTCAAATGTTACCTAATCTAAGGCCTCTTCTATCACACAATCTAAATAACCCTCCTCCACTTTTCCTTCTTGGCATTTATCATGACCTGGCAGCATATATATCAATATTTATTTGTTTAGAATCTGTTTCCCTCCACCAGAATGAAAATTTCCTGAGAGCAGAACTTAGTCTCTTGTTCACTGCTGTATCTCCAGTGTCTAGAGCACTCCTAACACTTAGTAAATATTTGATGAAAAAATAAGTGAGAAAACGGCCTTGCAGGTGGGAAGAGCTGGGTAACTTGGGAAACTGTCAGAGGTCAGAGTTGCTGGAGACTGAGTGAGTACAGACAGGAATGAGGTGAGGTTGTAGAAGATGGAGGCTTTGCCTAGTTGTGCAGCTCAGGTTATGCTAAGGAGTTTGGATTTTATGCCAATCCAATGGGAGGTCATTAAAGGTTTTTGACAGGGGAGTAAGTTGAGGGCTGCTATGACTGCCATGTTGGGAGTGGATTTTAGGGTGACAGGGTGAATTATGTGTGCAGCTATGAGGCTATCATGGTAATCTAGACCTACACTAATCCATGTTATAATCCATGTCTAATCCATGTTGTCATTTAAATTCAAATTAGTTAAAATGAAATGAAATGTGGTATTAGCCATACTTCAAGTGCTCAATTGCTACATGTAGTTTACCATACTGGACAGCACTCATATTAAACTTTACATCGTTGCAGAATGTTCTATTAGTACTGTTTTAGGTAATAGATAATGTTGCCTTGAAAAAGGATGGCAACAAAGGAGTACAAGTGACGTGGACAGATCTGGAGATAGAACTGATAGGATTTCTTGATGGATTGAATGTGGCATTAAATCTGCAGATCAAGGATGGCTCCTAAGTTATGGTATGAGGTTTTTGGAGGTGGTGGCATTTACAGAGATGGGAAATACTAGAGGGAGAAATAGATTTGTGGGGAGAGATCTATCCATGTTAAATTTTTAATGACATGATACATCTAGGTTGAGTTAGCAACAGGGAGCTAGAAGTAGAACTCTTGAAGTTTGGGCTTGAGATATAAATTTGAGAGTTGTCAGCTTCTTATAAGTTTCCTTAAGTTATTCATTCTCTGACTTCATCAATTTCCTCTATCATTCTCATCAGTTGCAAACACATTCTAGTATTACCCATAATTCAAAACAAAACAGAACAAGAAATTTAGCTGTTGCCCCATTTCTCTGCTTCTGACAGCAAAATCTCTCACTTTCTTAGAGGGTGATGGATATAGAAAGTTTATGGGATTAATGGCGAGAAGGTCATGGAGAGAGCAAACAATTACAGCAGGGAAATACTAATGGATTAGGATAGATAGGAGTGGTGATTTAGAAAGTAGGATGTTTGAAATCAAAATTTCAGAAGTCTCAAATGATTACAGAATTTCAGAGCAGTGTTGGTAAAGAATGGTAAGATAAAAGAAATAAGTTCCCTTGTGTGGTCAAATTTAGGGTTGGCACTGAGCTGGCATTCACTAGCTCAGTCTTACAAATCGTCATAGTCAATGTCCAGTCTGTCTGGCTGTTGCTCCTGCCACACTGGCTATTAAATATCATCCTTGGTCAAGCAACAATTTTAAGGAACATTAACAAACTGGAACACAGAACATAATGGCCAGGATGCTGAAGGGTGTGGACACCTGGGCATGTTTATCTTGGAGAAGAGAGAAGGATCATAATTTCTCCCCTTCAAATATTTATGGAATTCTCATAGAGACTCTCAGGCCAGGTATGGAACTTGTTCTGCCTAGTAATATCTAATAGTTATTGAATGTTTACCACTATTCAGGCATAGTCTTAAGAACTTATAACTCTTAATCTTCTTAATAGTCATATGGAGGTAGGTTACATTATCCTCATTTTAAATATAAGGAAACATAAATATATTGAGTAACTTGCCTCCAGTGACATAACTAGTAAGTAGAGAAAGTTGGATTAAAGCCCAAGCACTCTGATTCAAACACTTATATCCTTGGCCAGTCCACTAACCATGTGGCCATCATTACACTGATGGCTTTTTTTTTTGTTTGCAGTACGCGGGCCTCTCACTGTTGTGGCCTCTCCCGTTGCGGAGCACAGGCTCCGGATGCGCAGGCTCAGCAGCCATGGCTTGTGGGCCCAGCCGCTCCGCGGCATGTGGGATCCTCCCAGACCGGGGCAGCAACCCGTGTCCCCGGCATCGGCAGGCGGACTCTCAACCACTGCGCCACCAGGGAAGCCCACACTGATGCCTTTTGATTCAACATGAGCAAGAACTGTCAAGCAATTAGAACTGTTCAAAAAGAGAAAATGCTCATAAGTTCCATGTAATATCTTCAAATCCAGGTTTCATATGTCCAAGGGTATTTTAGAAGGAACTCCGTGTTAGGGGCTTCCCTGGTGGCACAGTGGTTAAGAATCCGCCTGCCAATGCAGGGGACACGGGTTCAATCCCTGGTCCGGGGCAGATCCTACATGCCGCAGAGCAACTAAGCTTGTGTGCCACAACTACTGAGCCTGCGCTCTAGAGCCTGTGAGCCACAACTACTGGAGCCCGTACGCCACAACTACTGAAGCCCACGTGCCTAGAGCCTGTGCTCCACAACAAGAGAAGCCATTGCAATGAGAAGCCCGCTCACCGCAACTAGAGAAAGCCTGCACAGAGCAACGAAGACCCAACGCAGCCAAAAATAAATAAATTAAAAAAAAAATTAAACAAGAAGGAACTCCACGTTATATGAAAGATTGAACTAAATTATCACTAAGATTCTATATTTAACCTAGTTCCTTCTCATTCAGCCACCCATCTTAAACCTACACATTTTGTAAATGTCTTATCTGCATTTCTATCTAAGCCATTAATAGAAATACTGTACTTCGCAAAACAAGGATAGAACCATTTTCATACCATTAAGACCTTCCCTTCAGGTTAACATTGTATGGTTATTTAATCAGCTGTGAAACTTCCTAGTCATATAATTATCCACTTACATTTTATATCTGTTCACAGGGACATCATAAAGTTCTCTATTAAGTGCTTCACTGAAATCAAGATTCATTAAGTTTATCTCATTCTCCCTAGCCACCATCTAATTAACTCTTTCCAAAAATTAAATTAGGTTAATTTAATATGGCATGTAAAGGATCACATGCTGGTTGCTCGTGACCACTGATTCCTTCTTCAAGTGTTCAAAACCCATCTGTCTAATAATTTGCTGTAAAATTTTGCTGAGGTTTATTTTTATTTAACAAACACTTATAATGCTTCATAAATACAACTTCATATAATTCCATGTGAGTATTTTTTTAATCTCCATTATACAGATGAGAAAATTGAGGCAGAGAGATAGGTTAAATAACTTGCCTAGGGCTACATAGCTAATAAATGGCAGAACTAGCCCAAACCAGTAGTTTGGATATAGAATCTGAGCCTGTAAGGACTAAGCTACACTACTTCACTGATACAAGACTTTGGAAATCCTCTAGCCTCCTTGTTTTTCTCTGTCTCCTACCCATCCCCCTCTGCCAACTCCCAATCTCCTTTTTGAAAAACAGAGTAACATTTTCCCATTTCCATTATTTTAAAACTTCCAGAGTGTTAGCTGACTCTATGCAGAATGCCTTTACTTGACATGGTGTATCCCAAAAGTTCCCCATCACATCCAATTCACCAAATAGATTCTCTGAGCATAAGAATGATGTAGAGATTAACTATTGCCCTATTCCCCATCTTTCTCAGATTTCTTAGATAACATTATCTTTAAGAGAAATACAGTAGTGTATCATTGTTTTATCTTGAGAGAATTTAAGTTACAGCCTGTACAGATAAATTACAGCAAATGGCCTCTCACTATCAGGACCATCTTTGTGACAACTTTTGTGTTTCTGAATTAGGAAAGGATCATCATTAGTCTGTATTTAGGCAGCCTGTGTGTCTTAGTCAGTTTTGGCTACTATAACAAAAACGCCATAGTTTGGGTAGCTTAAATAACAAACATTTATTTCTCACAGTTCTGAAGACTAGCAGTCCAAGATTTGGTGTCTGGTGAGGGCTTGCTTCCTGGTTCATAGCCATCTTCTTGCTATATCCTCACATGGCAAAAAAAAGCTGGGGGGGGGTTTGAGAGCTCTCTGGGGTCTCTTTTATAAGGGTTTATAAGGCTCCACCCTCATAATCAAATCATGTCCCAAAGGCCTCACCTACTACCATCACATTAGGGATTAGGGTTTCTACATATGAACTTTGGGAGTATGCAAACTTTTGGTCCATCGTGCTGTTCCATTACTTCTATTTCTCTGTCCATTTATCTTCATCGAAATGCCTCTACCTATCCTTATGACCAAAGATTGCCATATAATTATATATCATTTCCAAAGCAATTGCTAGCCCAGTCTTTTCCCTTTATCTTTTAAAATCTATACCCTTTTATCGTTTCAATCAAATCATGAATTTCATCCCACAAATCTTGATCTTACATTATTGATAATCATTCCTTTGTCAAGATTTGTTTGGAAATTTAATGTCCCCTCTCTCTCTTCTCCCTCTTTTACCTATGTAACTACACAGGAAGAGTATTTTAATTATCGAGTATATCTTCATTGCAGCTCATTTATGTGGCTCCAAGAAAGAATTTGTCTTGATATCCAGTGGTGCTTACCTAACTGTGAATTTTAAGACTGATGAATCTGTGGGAGAAAGAGGTTTTAAACTTATTTTGGAAGATATGACTCAGAAGCAATCACAGAAAAGCAATATTGGGATCCAACTGCCTATTAATGGTAAGAAATTGTTTTAAAACTTTTATTAAAGCAGGTACCATATATGCCTTAAAGTAGAACCTGGGGCCCACTGATTTAGGAGTCACTGGTAGTCAGTCACCTTGCTCTAATACTAAAAATAGGATAACTTCATTTCCAACCATTCCTTAAGGCATGAGAATTTGGTGGTTCAGGTAGATCATGTGAGGTAATAAGGTTAATTGGGGTGAGTATGTGTCTATATGTGTGTATGTTATTTTTATTTAAGAAATAATGATAAACATAAGTCAGTCAGTTGCTATTTAAAAGATCCACTGGGGCCATTCAGGCTGAAACAAGAGTAGAGTTCAGTGTGTTTCCATGTCTCTGTTAACATATTTTTTATTAAGTAACTGCCTCCCCACCCCCATGAAGAGCCCTCAAAAGGAATATTTTAGCTGAACCTATACTAACTTCTCTGCATAAAATAGAAACAAATGTGCTGATTTTTATCTACTTATCCTATCTAATTTTAAGCTAGAATTCCATTAGTTGTGCTTAAGACTAAGAAACCTAATGAATCTATTATTAGGAGATTTTCTTGATTGGAGTGTAATTGCAGGAAGAATTTAATCCATGTGAACGCAAAGTTCTTTTTGATGTCGCTCTATCTTTCCTAGGATAGTGGTGAATGGGCTCTCCTAAGAGTCCTGGATTTGAGCTGTAGACTACTGAACCACATCACCCTATAGGTGTGATTTTTAATTGTTAAAGGGATGCTCGCCCAATTGACCCTTCTTCTGTGTCCATTGCTTTTGTCTTTCATCACTATATCTCTAAACTGACCCTTTATTCTCACAGTAAAAATATTTAGCCTCATTTCTTTTTTTAAGTATTTTAAAGTAAGTTGAATACTAATAAAATATTGCTGTTATACATGTGTACAAACAGCCCAAAAGTCTGAGTTACTACATATAATGTGGATTACAAATGCAATAAAAAACATGCAGTAATGCAGTAAACCTTAATGCACTAAAAACATGTTTGAGTAAATACCTTTTGTGGGGTTTTTCTCCCTAAAATCTAGGATAATCTTAATTCTGAAGAGTCTGCATATTTTTTAGGCATATGTATTTAAAAGGAAGAGGGAATCCATGTGTTATACATATCTGAAAAGAAATTAGAAATGAGTTTTGACATAAGGATTGGATAAACACAAATCCACTATGCTAGAAACTTTTTGTTTTAAATAGATTTCTAGTGTAAAAAAAATCTCAAGTAAAGAATTCACAAGTGATCATATCTTATCATTCTGAAATTATATGGCTATGGAGAGGCTTAATTTTCTTTATATTTAAGTCTCTTGTTATTCCCTGGTAAATTTCTTTATAAATCTGAGAATGGAGTAAACACATTGGTAGAAATTTCCCCTATGCTTGTCCTTTATATAAACATTTTATTTTGAAGTATTTTGATGTGTCTAGATATGTTATACTGGGATAACACAAATGATGCCACAGAAAGAACAATTTCCAGTAATTTCATGATTAAGTGCAATACTTTTTTAAAAATTGATTTGTGTTCTGATTCGTCTAAAGACGTATATATTAATGCTTTAGTTAACTATTGATTTTTACTCATTTAAAAGCAATGGAAGAAAAGATGAGTCTCATCTCTTGCAAAGAATCCTAGTTTTGAACCTACAAAAGAAATAAATGCCTCCATTCTGAGACTTTAATAGACTTTCACAAGTATTGCTATCTGATGTTTTGTTGTTACTTTTCTAAGGGCTAACAGTAGAAAACAATACCAGAAGACAGCCAGCCCAAGACAAATGTGGAATTCCTGTTGTTGACCCATTTCTCATGGAAGGATCTGAGAGGAATACAAACGTGTTGCCAGCCAAGCTTGGGAAGCCCAGGGTGGTTGGTGGCCGTGCCGCCCCTGCGATGTCGTGGCCCTGGCTGGTCAGTCTGCAGTACCAAGGACAGCATTACTGTGGAGGTGCTCTGATTGGGAGACAGTGGGTCCTGACAGCGGCACACTGCAACTTCAGGTGTGTGCCCAGGTGGTGCAGGGTTGGGGACAGCAGGGCGTTGCGGAGCTATTTGAGGGTCCACAGCGGGTGCACTCCTTCTGTTCTCCCCATGTCACAAGAAACATCAAGCATCAGCTCCCCATCTTGCAAATGAATGAACGTGTTAGGTTTATGAAATTTTCTGTGCTTCACTAATACACTTACTACTAATAGCTTTTAATTTTAAAAGCAGCTTCCTGCCTCTAGGTATAATTTAATTAATAAGTAACTAACAACACCCCCCCATCCATAAAAATGAAGGTAATGATGTCTCAACATTTTTGCATCAGTCTCTCAGCATGGTGCCCAGAGCCGAGGGGCTGCTCAAATGTGGCTTCCTTTCCTCCTTGCTCTCCTCTACAGACTGTCTGATGATCATACCCAGTCCTGAAATAAATGTGTAAAGTTTCAAAGAATTTTAAAGAATGTCCTTTAAAGGAACTTTTTTTTTCTTTGACTTTATCTGAATCTTGGTCTCAATGTAATATGGAAATATCTGAAAACTCCTTCCTCAAAGGAGTCTTAGCTTGACGTTTTGAATATTATCTCCCAGAAGTAGTGAGACAGTTGACATTGTCATACAATGTCCCATAGCTGAATAAGTAGATATGACATTTTCAGGGTCTCTAAAATTGGCTTTATAATGAAAGCATCTGCTCAAATAACATGGTGAGCAGGAAGCTTCAATGAACCAAAAATTCAATTTCTTTAGCATTCCCCAAGTCTTACTTTTGATATAGCTAAATCACAAGAAGGCATCCTTATTAGGGCAGTTTTCAGACTTTCATGTGCTTAAAGTTACCTGGGGAGTTTGCTATAAACAGAATCTTAGAATATTAATCCTGAAATTTGATTTGCTGAGTTATGTCTGGGATTCTGCATTCTTTATACACATGCCAGATTTAATGCATGTGGTCCCTAGACATTTCTTTGAGAAACATCGTATTAGGGAGTAGAGTCACTATAACTTTCAGGATAGTTTCAGTGACCATCACATAAGTACATTATATAATGCATAATGATTATAATACATAAAATCATTACCTTGAGGCATCATGAATCTTAATTGTCAAAAATATATTGTACTAAATCATTTTATTTGATGTTATGAAGGCAAGAAAGTAGATACTTTAAAAATTTTCTCAAGGATTGAATTAATCAGAAACTCCCATTTTCTAAGAATTCAGGATAATAAGGATATTAATGTGGATTAAAAATTTTAAAGAAAGTTTTGGGGACTAGATTTTGGCAATAATATAATTGGAGTATAGAAGCAAAAAAAATGTTAAAGAATACATTCTTAGTAATTCTGAAAAGTGATGGCCTCATTAAAAGTGGTATCTATTTCGTCACTCCCTTTTCTTATGACAAGTAATGTCACAGACAACCTGGTAATAGGAAGAAGTTACCTGTGGAACACACGAAATAGAGATTTGATACCAGTGAAAGCTGTATACACTCACCCCAGCTTCACACAATTTCCTCCCAATGATGATATATGCTTGCTGCATCTGGAAAACCCTGTTGAACTAGGTCAGTATGGATAACTCTTTTCCATATTTTGAACCTTTTATCTTCCATCTTGCTTAGAAGTGCTGCATGTACTTTTGAAGTTAAATAATTATTTTAAAATTTTCTTACATTCTAAGATACTTTCTCTAAAAGCTGAAGTATCTGCATAAACATTTTACTGTTATGTGTATTTAATTGACAGAGGTCTAGAGAAGATTTCAGAGAAGTATGTTTTTAACTTTGTCCTATATATTCTCCTGAGACGCTTTATGTTCTATGAGGTTATCCCAAATACTTAGAACATCAGTTTGAACCACCAGATGTTTAATTTTCTGTGCCTTCATAACTTAGTAAAATCTTGGTTTTTAAAAAAATGTTTACTTAAGCCAAAGCTAAGTGAAACTGAGGCATTGTTAATCCTGGCTCTGTCAGGAAGTAGCCATGTGATCTTGGGCATGTTATGTAACTTCTGTGACCTTAGCTTTACCGTTTGTAGAAAGGGAATGGCAGTAACCCACCTACCTACTTAGCACAGGTGAGCATTCAGTGGGAAGGTGTGTTGGGGGGAATGTAACTAAGATCTGTGGATAGTTCCCACTTTCACACCCAAGCCTTTCCATGGCATCACAGGGATCTGGGACAGTTTTCTTCCTTTGCTCCAGTTCTCTCCTCTGTTTCTGCCTATAGACCTCCCTTTGTATGTCTTTTCGGTGCATTCATCCTACAAACCCCCAATCATGGTTCAGTCTACCATTTGCTTTTCATGCTTTTAAAACTGAGTCAGTGAGAGCATTTAGAACACTGCTTCTTAACCTTGACTATGCATTATCATCCTCTGAGTTGCTTTAAAAACAAAACAAACAAAACTATCAGCCCAGATGCATTTTGGAACAATTAATTACAATCTCAGGATTGGAGCTCTGACATCAGTATTTTTCCTCTTTATCCTGCTTCTTAAATTTATTTTTAGTTAAACTTTCAATGCTGAGATAATTGTAGATTCACATGCAGTTATAGGGAATAGATAGTACAGAGAAACCGAAGTACTTTTTAACCTGGTTTTCACGAATGGTAACATCTTGCAGGATTTGACATTGATATAGTTGAGATACAGAACATTTTTGTCACCATAAGGATCGATACTGTTGCCCCTTTATAGCCACACCCATTTCCTTCCTCCCCACTCCACCCTCCCCACCCAGACTTCTGTCAACCACAAATCTGTTGTTTCTATAATTTTGTCAATTCAAGAGTGTTACATAAATGGAATTATATAATATGTAACCTTTTGGGATTGACTTTTTTCCTGGGCATAACATCCTGGAGCTTCATTTATGTGGTTGCATGTATCAGTAGTGCATTCCTTTTAATAGCTGAGTAGTGTTCACAGTATGAATGTTTAACCACTTGTAACATTTAACCATTCATTTGTTGAAGAATATCTGGGTGGTTTCTAGCTTTTATATGTTACAAATAAAGCTCCCACGAACATTCGTGTAAAGGTTGTTTCCTTTTTTTTATTTAAATAATGCTGGATTGACTATCCTTAGGTGTACATTTTTCCAGGTCTATGATTGCCTTAAGATAAATTTCTCGAAAGCAGAAATGCTGGATTTAGGGCATAACTGTTTTCAAGACTCTTGACATATTTCTAAGTTATAAACACAGCTGGATGTGGAGTACAAGTCAATACATCCCCCTCCTCCATCCTGCCAAATGATGCAATCTGGCAATATCTGTCCATTTTTAGTGTGTGCCCTGTGGTCCAGCAACTCAGTCATCCAGGAATACTGGCACAAATGCACAGATGCATGATCTTGGAAACTTGATGCAGCTTATAAGGGAAAAAATTAAAAGTCTAAATGTTTTCCAATGGGATTTAATAAATCGAGGTACATTCATTATCTGAATACCATATGCTATTAAAAAGAATGATGTAATAATGATGCCATGTAAATGGCATGATCATAATCTAGTAAATGAAGAATATCAGAATAAGAAAAATGGCTGATTAAAAATATGTTGTTAGTAGGAAAATGTTATTTAGCTCAAGGAAATTTGGGAGAAGATACGATAGAGCAATGATTATCTGTGAAGGCAGAATAACATAAGATTTGGCACACGCGTCGAGAGATGAGTAGGAAAAGAATAGACAAGTTACAAACAGTTTTATGTAATTTTATTAAGAGATAGCAGTAAAAATAAAGAACATATCACTGATATAAACGGCCTATAATAGCAGATATGCTGACACATTTAAGTATGTAAAAATCTGGATGAAAATGAAGTTAAATAGCCTGGGAAAAAGGGAAAACAAACACAAGAGCACTGCATTCAGTGTGTGTGTGTGAGTGTGTGTGTGTGTGTGTGTGGCATATATACACACAGACACACAAACCCACAATATTTATATATACACAGATTTTGGTGATAAGAAAAAATGTAAATGTTTAAATGTATAATGTATCAATATATTTTATAATAACCTGTGGAGATAGAATTAGATATAAAAATACTTTTTAGCTGTAAAAATACTTTAACAGTTAAATTGCTACGTGTTTTTCCCCGTTCTTCATATAACATAGTTGAAAAGAGAAGACAATTATAGGGACTTCCCTGGTGGTCCAGTGGTAAAGAATCTGCCTTACAATGCAGGGCACTCGGGTTCAATCCCTGGTCGGGCAACTAAGCCCGCGTGCCACAACTACTGAACTTGCGTGCTTCAACTAGAGAGCCTGCGTGCCACAAACTACAGAGCCCATGCGCCCTGGAACCCGAGAAAACCCACATGCCACAACTAGAGAGAAGCCCGCACGCCATAACAAAGAGCCCACGTGCTGCAACTAAGACCCGACACAGCCAAAAATAAATAAATAAATAATAAATCTTAAAAAGAAGACAATTATATTCTCCACTCTCATCTCAAATTCAACAAGGTGATGTCCTGAAGGCACATAGGCAAAAAGACAGATGCACTTTGAAAAATGGTTATGGATGAGAAGCTCCACATTTCAGTGTAGGGCATGTGTTTCTGTTTTCCTAGGAGGATATGGAAATACCTGGAGCAAAGTGGTAACGTGTATTGGGATGATCCCCTCTGAGTAAATAATAGGTGGGATCTTCTGGAAGACTTTATTAAATTACAGGGTTACAAAGGGTACTGTTAGGTCAAAGTAGGTATTTCTAGAGCCATCACTGAAGAGCAAACAGTATAGACAATGTTAATATGAATCTTACGGACTAACTGATATTTGCGTTTTTCTTTCTCATCCTTTTAATTAGGAAAGTTTGTATCTCCAATCTGTTTGCCAGGGAAAGATGATAAAATAAATTTACTTTCCAAATGTATGACTGCTGGATGGGGAATAACTGAACCTCATCGTGAGTATATTTTATTACCTCTTCTAAGATTAGAGTCCAAACAAATATATGTGAAGTCTGAGTATACTGTTTACTCATTTTCAATTTTTCTGTATTTTTAATAGGAATGATAGTGGAAAATTTTTTTCATAATGGACCTAAAGGTGACTGGTTGGGCTTTAGGCCATCATATTCATTAATACAAGTTCACTGATACTTTTAAAAACTGTGTTGGTAAATATCTAGTGATGTTATTACCTAATATTTGTGTATGCACACACTCACACACACATAATTGTTTTCACAACAGTGTAGATATTTCTATTGTGAAAACCCATACTTGAAGATATATGAGCCTATTCTTAAAGCTGTGAGGCATTTTTCTGAAATGATAGGCTGGTATAAAAGGTAAATGGGTAGATATGATATCACTTATATGTGGACTCTAAAATATGACACAAATGAACTTATTTATGAAACAGAAACAGACTCACAGACAGAGAGAACAGACTTGTGGTTGCCGGGGGGGGGCAGGGGAGGGTTGGAGTGGGAGTTGGAATTAGCAGATGCAAACTATTATATGTAGAATGGATAGACAACAAGGTCCTGTTGTGTAGCACAGGGAACTATATTCAATATCCCGTAATAAACCATAATGGAAAAGAATATGAAAAAATATACATATGTAATAACTGAATCACTCAACTATACTTCAATTAAAAAAAAAGGTAAATGGGTAGAAAGATTATGTGCAGATATTCTAGTCCATATAAAGATCAAACTCATGACTCTGGTCTCACATACACCCTATTCTGCAAATGAATTAACTACCTACAAATATCCAATAAACTAAAGAGTTATTTAGAATGCAATTTCACTTGTCAGCTTCCAGTCAGTGTCAGCACTTAACCAGAATGTCTGCTCAGCAGAAGTCAAATCAAAAGAATGAGAATGTCATGAAACCAGTGAATTAAAGTATAGACTTAATATGTAAAAAATGTATATTGTTTGCTTTATCAACAACTGATTTGGGTGTAAACTTTGTCTTTTTTGCATAAAGTGATGTTTTTATATCTTCTGAGGACTATACTAAAGATAAAAGAACCCACATAAAATGTTTTTCATTGTTTCTGTTGTATAAGCCACTGTGGAGTGACTATATTAGTTTTTTAGAAGTCACCTAACAGCATCACTATAGTGCTGAGAGGGGAGAATGGGTGGGATTTAACCCTCGGAGTCTGTGTATATATAAGGCTATTTTTGTTTTATCCTTTAATATCATTTGCCTATGTGTTTTTATTCCTTTTCTACTAGAAGATGAATTTCCTAAAACTGTGCAGCAGGCAAAGGTACCACTGATTAGTAGTACATCTTGTCGAAGCTACTGGGGACTGGATATTAAAAATACCAATATATGCGGAGGGGCTGCAGGATCATCGTCCTGTATGGTAATGAAGGCCTGCATTGATGAGGGCAGGAGTTTTCTTCTCAGTGTGTCTCATGAATGGGTGTTTGCTGACCATAAAAAGGTATAAATGTATGGTAGTTTTAAAATGAAAAGTGAGAGGAGTAAGTACATTGCTAAATTGATGTACTGTGATTACCAATTTGATATTTTTGTGGATTCTATTCTCAAAAGGAATTACTTGTTCAACTGCTAGGTTGAACTATGTGAAACTGATAACTTTCAACTGTTTTTGATCCACAAAAAAATGATGATTTCTTGTGGTTCAACTTCATAGCTGTATTAGGTAGCTCAAACTACCTACTTCCAGTAGCACTGAAAATATAACGATGCTTTCACGTAACTCAAAACCATCATTTAGTCATTTATATTAGATGCTTGAAACTTTCTGCATGGCACAGTCTATTGTCAGCATAAAATAAATTTATGCTAAATGTTTCTTTCAGCCTCGCCTTGAAAATGTAGATTTTGATCTGATTCAGAGATCTGTAACATCAGCCAACTACCTCAGTGGTTGTAGTTCCCTATGCTGTTATGAGCAGAAATCAGAGATGAGAGTGACTTACACACTGTTGGACCATCCCCTGCAGTTGGGGGTTAGTGTCAGCCATGAATCATGCAGCCAGAATGAACTTCCCTTTTTGCTGGTTGCAGGGAGATTCTGGAGGACCACTGCAGTGTGCCCAGGATGGGCAGTACAAGCTCATCGGTATTGTGAGCTGGGGCAGCAGTAATTGCCATCCTGCCGCACCAACGGTCTTCACCAGAATTTCTGCTTATAGAGACTGGATCACATCTGTCACTGGAGGAGAAGCATGATCACCGGAAGAGCAGCATGGTGGAATTGTGTTCCTAAGTGGGAAAGGAAATACATGACCGCGTACCTGAAAAATACGTCTCTTGTCATTGCTAAAAAACTCAATGTCACTTCCCCCAACCCTTGTCATTGAGGAGCTTGGATTTGGTGTGTACATACATTCAATATTAAACGTTGGTCACAGAAAGCTAATGTTGGTTCATGCCTCCTGGGAACTTACAATCTTAAATGTCATTAATTTCAGGTCTAGTGTACCATGTACTATATGTCAAATTTGAATACCATCATATATAATTTTACTATTTTTTTAATTTGGTTAACATTGGAAGATATGAAGGGAGATGTTACTCCATATAATTCTTTTTTTTTTATTTTAAAGATTCTTTTCTTTTAAGCTTTTTAAAAAATTTTATTTACTTATTTTTGTCTGCACTGGGTCTTTGTTGCTGTGCGTGGGCTTTCTCTAGTTGCACCGAGCAGGGGCCACTCTTCGTTGTGGTGCGCGGGCTTCTCATTGCAGTGGCTTCTCTTGTTGAGCACAGGCTTTAGGCACACAGGCTTCAGTAGTTGTGGCACGTGGCTCAGTAGTTGTGGCACACGGGCTTAATTGCTCCACAGCATGTGGGATCTTCCTGGACCAGGACTCGAACTGATGTCCCCTGCATTGCCAGGCAGATTCTTTTTTTTTTTTTTTTTAACATTTTTATTGGAATATAATTGCTTTACAATGGTGTGTTAGTTTCTGCTTTATAACAAAGTGAATCAGCTATACATATACATATATCCCCACATCTCTTCCCTCTTGCATCTCCCTCCCTCCCACCCTCCCTACCCCACCCCTCTAGGTGGTCACAAAGCACTGAGTGGATCTCCCTGTGCTATGCGGCTGCTTCCCACTAGCTATCGGTTTTACATTTGGTAGTGTATATATGTCCATGCCACTCTCTCACTTTGTCCCAGCTTACCCTTCCCCCCTCCCCATGTCCTCAAGTCCATTCTCTAGTAGGTCTGCGTCTTTATTCGTGTCCTGCCCCTAGGTTTTTCTGACCTTTTTTTTTTTTTTAGATTCCATATATATGTGTTAGCATACAGTATTTGTTTTTCTTTCTGACTTCTTTCACTCTGTATGACAGACTCTAGGTCCATCCACCTCACTACAAATGACTCAATTTCGTTTATTTTTATGGCTGAGTAATATTCCATTGTATATATGTGCCACATCTTCTTTATTCATTCATCTGTCGATGGACACTTAGGTTGCTTCCATGTCCTGGCTATTGTAAATAGATCTGCAGTGAACATTGTGGTACATGACTCTTTTTGAATTATGGTTTTCTCAGGGTATATGCCCAATAGTGGGATTGCTGGGTCGTATGGTAGTTCTATTTTTAGTTTTTTAAGGAACCTCCATACTGTTCTCCATTGTGGCTGTATCAATTTACATTCCCACCAAAGTGCAAGAGGGTTCCCTTTTCTCCACACCCTCTCTAACATTTATTGTTTGTAGATTTTTTGATGACGGGCATTCTGACTGGTGTGAGATGATATCTCATTGTAGTTTTGATTTGCATTTCTCTAATGATTAGTGACGTTGAGCAGCTTTTCACGTGCTTCTTGGCCATCTGTATATCTTCTTTGGAGGAATGTCTATTTAGGTCTTCTGCCCATTTTTGGATTGGGCTGTTTGTTTTTTTGATATTGAGCTGGCAGGCGGATTCTTAACCACTGTGCCACCAGGGAAGCCCTCACTCCGTATAATTCTTAATTTTACTCACATAGAACAGTGCCCTATGCACAGGTTTACAGGAATGGTCCCTGTAAGTTTCACAATTTCAGTGAGCAATTGACATTTATGAAATTATTTATCAGGCTTATCATTTGATTTTTAAATTTTTAGATAAAATCTTAGGATATTTCACTTGTTTACAAAACATTTATCTGAACTTCAGCTGACCAATACCCTCATCTCTCTAGGCTTAGCCAAAAACTAAGGAAGGCCCCTGAGCCTGGATACTTAATGCCAAAGCCCATCACAGAGATATATAATACAGAATAAGAAGTCTGAAGCAACTATTTTTTCTTATTTTCCACCAAAATTTATCATTTGGTTTCCAAAATTACAGCATTCAAAAAAGGAGGATAGTTTAACTTTTTAGGTAAGCACAACATAACCTAATCAAAGAACAACTCATAAAGAAATTAGCAAAAAATAAATACTTTTTTTTCTTTCTTTCTCTGATCTCCCTTTCTCTCACCCCCCTGTCCCTACCCCTCTCTTTTTCTGTCTCTCCTCTCTTTTGCAAATGCTATAAAGGGAAAATATTTTGAATTTCCCAGTATTTACTAAAAACCTCTTACATGAATATTGGTCTAAACTGCTTTAATTAATTTAAATTATACTCTTTGATAGGGACTCAGTAAATTGAAAGATGAGATTTACAGTAAGGATTCTCTAATTCTTATGTTAATTTGTTTTGTACCATTTTTACTTTGTCTCATTGAATTTCTCTCATCTTTTCAATCAGATGACATTAAGGGGGGGTTAAAGATGGGCTGTATTAAAATGTCAGGCCTGTCTAAAGCTTTCTTCTTCACAGTATGATCTGAAGGTGGTTAATTTTGGTACTGGCACAATCTCTGACCTCCTGGGACAGTGATCTGGTGGTGATGCTTGAGGGCTCTGTCAGCAAAGGACGAAGGGTTAGCATTCCATGTACTACCTAAGGAAGCTGCCTGACTTTCATATGAGGGTCAGAGACTGGTGCTCTGTTTTCAGCTTGAGTTGGCAGTAATTTTCAAATTGTTCTGTATTTAATCTTTTCCCTGTTGAATAGAACTGTGTTAGACTATTTTACTATGTTAGACTGTTTTACTTGCCCTTTCTCTAGTTGAAAGCCAATTTAACTCAGGAGGGACATAAGCTTTATTTCTTACTTTGACTGTTTCTTCTTCCCAAGAACTCTTTTTTATTCTTTCATTTCAAGGTCAAGCTCTATGTGGATTAGACTACAATCAATTTTGTAAGTTGATATAGTCTGTAAGGGTTACATAGCCAAATTAAAAAACAATTAGAGACCTAGTAACCTAAGTTTTCACTCATGTGTGTATTTAAAAATGGCCTCGTTGAGCACCTACTGTGTGTCAAGTAGGGGCACCTTGAAAAAGGAAGTTTCCCTTATCTTTAGCATCTCATTCTAGTGCAGAAGAACAATACACAAAGGTAATTCCAATTCCACATGCCATGGGAGCTGCCAGTCTAGGAGGGAACAACCAACACTTTCTGCAAGGATGGATGGAGGTTTTGCAGGAGAAGTAATGTTTGAGCTGAGTTTTAAAGCTCAAGTATTAGTTGATTTGATTTTTGTTTTATGTTTTAATGTTTTATACACCAATATCTTATGTTAAAGAAATCTGTATCAAGCTCTTTTCCTATTAACAATTACACATACTCTGAATCTCTCCTGTCATTTGGATTGTTGGAACATTTTGTTATTCATTCTTAAGCCATAAATTGCATTACTTCACTTTCTCTAACCCTCCGTCTTGTCTTTTTTTTTTTTAATATTTATTTACTTATTGGGCTGTGCTGGGTCTTAGTTGTGGCACGCGGGATCTAGTTCCCTGACCAGGGATCGAACCCGGGCCCCCTACTTTGGGAGCATGGAGTTTTAACCACTGGACCACCAGGGAAGTCCCCTCCATCTTGTCTTTTTCATAAAATTTTCAATAATATAGTTCCAATTTCATGCATATTCTTTGTCAATTTAACAGTCAACAACTTAAGCCTGACAAGTGTCTAATTCTCACCAAAGATTAACAGCTTTGGGCACTTACCTGATTTCATCTTGGTCTCAGCTTTATTATCAGTAGCATGATCACTTTCATTTTTCTATCCCCCACAGATATTTATAAAATAAGAGTAAATTTAAACCAAATTGTCAGATAGTGGTAACACAAACAACTGCTGGGGCCAAAATAACTAAGAATCTCTTAAAGAGGCAAAATGAAGCGGGGGAATTATAACAGAGGCAGTTAAGCTAGAGTAATTAAGACAGGGTGGTATTGCTGCAGAGATAAATAAACTGATCAAGAGAACAGAATACAAAAGCAAGAAATAGCGCCATCTTACATTCTCTAAATTGGCAAAATGCACAGTGTGACAAGATAAACAAGATAATGAGAATGTGGAGTGGAGGGGAACTCTCCTCACGGCTGGGGGTGGGGTGCAACTCAGATAACATGGGTAAAACTGAAGATGCCAATGTCTTCTGAGTCAGCAATTCTACCTCTAGGTAAATGCCCTAGAGCATGGCTGCAATTAAATGAAAACATCTGGGGCATGGAGGGGGGTAATTTTTTTTTTTTTTTTTACTATTTATTTATTTGGCTGTACCAGGTCTTAGTTGCGTGGCACGTGGGATCTAGTTCCCTGACCAGGGATCGAACCCAGGCCCCCTGCACTGGGAGTGCTGAGTCTTAACCACTAGGGCACCAGGGAAGTCCTAGGGGTAATTTTTTAAACTCCTTACATGATGCTAATGTGCAGTCAGGTTTGGGAACAGTGTCCTAGGAAAGTGATGCAACCATGACCACTAAATATGTACAGGAAAGTTTATAGAAATGTGAATATCAGCAAAAGCCGGAATTCCCAATGTCCACTAGAGAAGCATGGATAATCAAAATCTATATAGTATACTCACACAGCAGTAAAATATATGACATTCCACAGGCTCTTTAGGTGAATCTTAAAAGCAATGCTGAGCTTAAAAAGCAAATTTCAGAAGAGTAGGTACCTTATAAAGCTCAGAAACAGGCAAAATTAAACTGCTCAGGCTTCATATATGGTTGAAAAAAATGCCAGGGAAAATAACCCACCATTCAGAGCAGTGGGTGGGGGGTGTGGGGATAGGATGGAGGAACCACACACAAGTGGTATTAATAATTTTCTAGTTAAGTTGGTGGTAGTTTTACAGATGTTTATGATCTTGCTCCATAACTTACATAATACTTCTGTGTATACTGAATACTACACAGTATAAGTATACTTACAGACCTTTTAAATAATACTAGCTTCTCAGAATAGAACCTAACCTTCTCTCCAGGTAATTAGAGTTCCACACTCATTCGGAGCATTATACCCTTGCATTTTCGGCAGTTCCCTTTGCCTAGAAAGCACAAATTGTCACTGACACTTGCATTCCCTGA